CCTGTGAACCGCACAGGTTCCACAGAATACAGTTCTGCTTTTTGTGCCCACAGCTGTAAAGTCAAAGGTTGCTGCGTGATTGCACCAAAGGCTGAAGAAATGAATCTGCAGTCATTACAGCTGCTTGTAAATGCATCCAAGCCAGCCGGCGCCACATCGATTTTTCTATTTCTGATTGGCCCTCGGTTACTGCCCTGAGAGGCCTGCGTGAGTACGGTGGGGGTTGGAGGGGGCGGGGGGGTCGCTGAGCATAATTGATGCTGTCACGGTAAGCACAGGTTACATATATATATATGTGTATATATATAGTTTGATGCTAGAGAGAGATATTTAAAACTGATGTACCCACAGCAACTCAAATAAAAAAAATAAAAACAAAGCAAAAGAAAGACACCGTAGTTAATTCATTCCTCTTGCTTTTTTTTGTGCCCTAGGGTGAGAAGAGTATCGAAATCAGCGTGAAAAAAAAAAAAGAAAAAAAAAAAAACTAAATAAAGTATTGGCAACAATCAAAACAACAAAAGAGGTTTTTTTTTACTATGACTGGAGCTTTTCTTGAGCGGAGATGCTAATTTCAAATGCGCTATTATTTCTGAGTGGCTTTATAAAATGGGATCAACCGGAATTATATGAACGTAGGATAAGAGAAGACATGAGCTCTGAACGAATTAGGTCTGCCGACCGAGATGCAATCAGAGGAGACTGAGAAGAAAAGAAAGACAAAGACTCATTTGTGGTCTGGGGGAGATGATGAATTAGAGCAGAGCACGCAGTCACTTCCTCCACCAACATCTTCCCAATTATATAACACAGTTTCCTTAGATTTGGCAGATTTTTCAGCAGATATCCTGACGATGATTAATCACACTGTAATTTGCCCTTACCTGCTGCTGCCGCTTTACTCTCACCAGGATCAGGCAGCAACAGCCATTCTTCAGATTTGCCAATAATCATATGTTGAGCATCGACATCACAACGGTGAGAGCAGAATCACAGATGGCTTGAAAAGCACACTGACAGACTGTATTTTAATAGTAATTCACGGAAGCTCTCTGAGCTATTAAATGTGAAGGTAATCAGTTGTATGAAAATCAAAGCAACCCGATCTTTAGCAGGCATCGTGCCTTGAACGCATCACAAATTCAACACGTGTTCTTGCCAATATTTGCTTAACATATGAACTACAACACAAGTACATCTGAGAATAGTATTTTGAAGTCATTCGTAACGTCATCTATCTATCTATCTATCTATCTATCTATCTATCTATCAAAATACATGGTCAAGCCGGAAAGTTTCATGCTACAGGACAGATAGGAATAAGGAGGAAGATACACTCTCCACAAAGGTATTGGCAAAGTGTGTGTTCACCCGCATCATCATCACTTGAGAGCAGTTGACTCTCCAATGCTCACAACACACGTCTACACTAACACCAACCTCCAACCCCTAAGCATCATTAGCAGAACCACATGCCAAGCTCTGGGAGTAATTGGCTGCCCTTTCAGTCTCCTAATGGCTCGAGGACGGAGGAGAGAGGAGAACAGGAGGTGAGCTCGCAGAATTACACTCATTGATTTCAAAGATTTTCTGATTCCGAGATATTTTGTTGCAGATTTGTTTTTCGTTTCCTTTATACTTTTTTCCCCTCAGCTTAAAATCATGGACACCTCTGTTTTTTAACATCTTATGGATGGTTTGGTTATGGATGGATCTAATTTTTTTTACCCACAAAAAAGCAAAGCAAAGACTGTCCACTATCAATATGTTTTCCCCATGTGCGTCTAGTAATCCACCTCCAATGAGATTAAAGCTCATTACATTCTGCGAGAGTGACTAAGCATTCAGAGAATAAAGAGTAAAAAATGTTTCCTTTCACAGGCCGAGCTGCACTTTGCTTCCAGCAATCTGCCTCCAGCAGGGCAGCTGTTCTGGCAGCCCTATCTCAAGAATTATCAGACCGCATATCTAAAGGGCAGGAGACGCCCCTCGCCAGTGGGATCAGGGCAGATTATAGGGCCAACGGCGCACATGGGAAACACAGACCTCATGTCAACCCGTGCAGACCACATCCCCTCATGTTAGACTCTTCCGACATAAAAACACAGCCAGCCACATAGAGATTATGTGCAAGGCTGGGGGATTGTGAATGGACGTATCACATATATTTCCAACTAGTGATGTAGTATTTTCACATCCAACAATATGGATTTTTTTTCAACAGCAACAGCAATATATATATATATAAAATTCTACTTCCTGGTGACTAGACTCTCTAACATTGAGTAAATCAAAGTTTAATAGCAGCCATTACCATTGTAATCCCTGGGATAATGGTTAATGGGAAAATGGGCCACTCTGTGTAGGCTATTAAGAGCAGAGTGCTAAAGAAAACAAAACATAACACCAAATGATAAACACAACCATTTCCTTCACATTACTACTGCATTATACCCAAAGACCACAGAGACATTTTCAAACTCAGAAGTCCTTCCTCGTCATATCACTCCCGAGCTAGTTTTTCCCTCGTAAAGTGATTTGAGACGTCTGCTGAGAAAATACCACTGGCTTCCCACATCCATCACGCTGCCACAAGACATGAAAACACCAGACCTCAACGTCAAGGGGACTTTGGTTTTTGCACGAAGCTCCCGGAGAGAAAAAAAAAGGTAGTGAAAGATTTGGATTGTTGTCTCCAGGAGGGATGGAGAGACGGGGGTGGGGTGTACAATGTGCTGAGGTCACTGTGTTTGCATCCCATGATCTACTACTGACCTACATTCACACACTGCAGGACGGCAGCCAAAATCCACAGTGACTTTGGGTATATGTATGTATTCCACACCCACTGTGCTGACACACAGGGATGGGACACAGTGTCACGGACTTGCAAAGGAGAATTACAAAAGAGCAAGGTCACCTACAGTGTACGGTTTGACTGTTCCTGCTGGAGCCTGCAATGTTAAATGCTGAAAGATGATGCTGCAGAGGAGCCGTACAGTAGATAAAATAGCAGATCAGGAAGGAGTGGTGGAGGTGGGAGTGAGGGCGGGGGTTATGAACAATGTTTTTCTCCTTTAAAAAAAATCGCTCTGCGGAGAAATTCACCTGGCACGCTGACACCCACCTCGACTACAACATTTGTCTGCGAGATCCAGCACACATTTATCTCCTTATTATATAACCACTACACCAGCATTAGCGTACAAAGGCCTGGAGCCTCAGAAGCAGCAGCAACATCATTTTAAAAACAGAGCAGGTTCCCTCGGTGCAGATCCCATCGTTTGCTTCCACTGCCTAGAACCGCTAGTTCCCCATTAACCTGAGGTGGGCGCCACTAACTGTCACCTCATCAGATCGCTTTCTCTTTTCATCATTAGGCGGGCTAACGGATTCTAGAGTAGGTTCGCTGTGACTCCTGACCCCTGAACTGTACCTTCTCTTTTTTTTTTGCTGTCTTTGTTGATTGCAAATTTCCCTTCTGGGTGACAAAGTGTCAAGACTGTCACAAACCAGTTAAATCTGAAGGGATTATTAAGGATTATAGTAGGGAGCGGAACAGCTGGGCAGCATTTTGAAACGAAATTGTAGAGGCAAGTGTGTCATAAGAACCGACTGAGGCCTGAGTGCACTTGATGCTTGTTGTCTGGTAATGTCTGAGCGGATTCTCATCCATCCAGGTCACGGTTCTCCCGGACTAACGTCAGCGGGCTGAAATATTTCAATCATCATTCAAAAAGCTTCAATGACTGCGAAACTGAGCGGAATCTTACACATTACATTGCAGAAAAAAAAGACAAAGAAGAAGAGGAAGTGATGTCACAAGTACACTTAGCAACAGATGTAAATTAAAGGTGGCACGATGTGCACCCTGGGGGCTGTAAAGCCATTTGCCTTGAGTTTGATTTATATAATTTACACCATAGCTGTCAATTTAACGCATACTAAAACATACTTTTCATACTTATCTGAAAGAACGAAAAAAAAGAAAATAGTACAATACGAGTCAAATTGTCACCAGGTTGGCAGGTAGATGATTAGAGATACCAGCCTTAAGGGTGTGTGGGCTTCGCTGACCACGAGCTGCGTTGTGAGAGTGATTTGGACGAGGCTCATTGACCATTTATTAAGCAGCGTGGTTATGTAATCTGCAACAGGAGACTCATAAGAAGCTTAACACGTCGGATCATTAAACCGGTATTATTGACCTGCTATTCTTTGGATCCAGTGTAAAATAGTAACACAGTGGATGGTCTCAGATTCAGCTGCTACTGCCTAATCCTTTTCAGGCGGGGTACACCCTGGTCTGTTCGTTAGGGGGCAACAGACAACAGTTAACACTAAACTCTATGGTCAGTCTGCATGGTTTTAGACAGTGGAGAAGACCCTCCAGACTGAATTACCACAAGTTACCACCGGGGTTCGAACCTGTGCTCTTTTCCATGTAAGGTGGCAATTTGTTTTGGGTTGAATGCAGTGTGGTGATGAATTATTTGAATTATTTGGCCATTATGTGTGTAAACATTTCCAGTCCATATTATTGGTATTTGATAAAACATTATAATCTATTCAGACCCGAATGTCAAAATATGATAATGTGTCATGGGTTATGTAAATATATTCACCTCATGTCTGCACACAGACCCGTGCGGTCCTTCACACTAAACCATGCGCAGCGTTGGTCTTTCGTTGATCATTCATAAAAATGGCAGGCTTGGCTGCAGACCTGCCATTGGCTGTGACCATCAACCTTCCCTGCATGTCATTTTATCATTTGACTGCGTCGTTTTGTTTTTTGTTTTTTTGTTTTTTTCAAATATAAACTCTATGCAAGTGCAAGTGTAACGGGACTCGAACCGCACACTTTCCACCGGTAAACAAAGCCAAACAGGTTCGTTTTCACAAGAACCAGATTCATTACCAGTGACATACCATTACTACTAGTCACATCAATAGTTCAGGAAGGCTAAGGATCTGAGATGGTGAAACAGCGTCCTTACCCGGGGCAGCGCAGTCAGCGTTGGTGCAGCGGTGGAAGTGCGGATGGATGGCAGACGGGATATCCCTGCTCCGGATCAGCGGTGCTGGTGAGCAGAACAGAAGCAGAACAGCCGATGAGAATAGTAGGGATGTTGGTGCGACTCCGGCGCTCCTAGGGAACAGTCTTTTTCTGTCCTAGATCTCTGCACTGTTTCAAGCTCCTATCCGCTCGGCACTGACCTCAAACATCTACTCACGCACGCTCACAGCGGCTGTGTGACTGGAAATGTGGCCCCAGGCTGCAGCAGCCGAGTCCAGCCAACCACGGTACAGTGCAGCAGTGGTGGTGGTGCAGAGAGACGCTGCTTCTAGCTGCGACTGGAGCGGCTTTTCCTCCCCGGACTTGGACAGGATAACGGCGCAGGACAGCTGCAGGAGTGTGCGCTGCTGGTGTGGATTTAAATGGGGACGGTGTCGCTGGGCTTACGTAGTAGGGGTTTAATTAGAAAGCGCCGCGCCCATTGGCAACCACGCTGCACACGGCCCTCCTCCCTTTTGTCCCCGCAGCCGAGTGTACACCCCTCGTTGTCCCACCTTCATTCCCTCTCCCTTTTTCATTCTACACTATCTTTCTCTTTTTTTAAGGATACCAACCAAAATCATTACATTTAATGAAAAAAACAAACAAACAAACAAACAAAAACCACCTAAATAATAAAAATCCTCATTAAAACCTCAGATTAAAACATTTTCTTCATTTATTTTAGTGTCACATATTTGATCAGCTGGGATTCCACCTGCTCTCTGTTTTGTTTTTTTGGACTTAAGATGTTCACCAGTGGAAAAAAGAACCACTAGGTGGCAGTAATGCAACTCACGGTAAGCACAGCTGCTGCTAAAGCCAATGAAAAAGTGTTTGCCTTTTCAAGAAAAGCCCTGGAGGTGATTGAGATCTTAAAAATATAAAACTTTTGGAGTTTGGAGTTCATGTCATGTCATGTGTCGGTGTGTTTTGTCCAGATACTTGTGTCCAAAACAAGCAGGATTATAATTATTCAAATTGCATTTGGATACTCCATGTGAATGGCCCTCAAATTGCAGCCCGCAGTTTACAAACTGAATACATGACATCTCATTTGAATCTTGTTGTTGTTTGGAGTAAAAAGGTTACTTTTTGTAACATGACAGTATTCTGGCTGGTGGCTTGACTAACAAACGGACCCTTGACTCATTACAAAATGTCGCCTGTGTCTGTGTCACCCTACCTCTTGGATAATGAGTTCAACTCCAGGTAGCTATTAAAATTTCCCTCTAGGAAAATACCTGACAGTTTGGTTTGCTACCTCTAGGGGGTCGCCAGAGCAGATGATCTTCCCATCATTTGCTACCAGTACAGTTACATCAACGTACGTATGTTTGACACCCCCGGTATAAATGTTGAGAAATTTAAAATGCATTTAGAATATGTAGAACATTATTAAATAACTTTGAACGCACATCGCTGCAGTATTTTTTTTTTTTTTTTTTTTAAATATATTTATTCGATGTAGGCCACTGAAGTAACACACTTCATCGGACTGGTTGTGGTTATCAGCTGTGACTGAACAGACTGATTATAGCAAGCGCTCCGTCTGTCTGCTGCACTCCCCTAGGTTTGCCATCAGAGGCAGACATCAGCTGCACTTTGTCACACCTCACGGAACTTTAGGGAACTGTGAGAAAGTTATATTCTATTAACTGCAGAGGTAGGTGGATGACTCACATCTGTGGTCTCTCCAGACTATGTTTGTCTGCTCAGTGTAAGGACACCTGGTCTACATTACAGGCTCTCTGGGAAAATAAGAAATGACACATACCTAAAAGAAGCAGGGAACATGTTGAAGTAAAAAAAAAAAGTCCTCGGCTGACCTCACATAGAAATGATGGTTCTTTAGGAAGTATAAGTGTGCTAGACTACACTGATTGCTAGCAGGTATTCCTGGTTTCTCACAGAAAATAGGAGTTGTCATGCTCTGCCATTGTGGGTTTTTCTCCTTATATCTGAGGGTGGTTCAAGCCTTTGCAGATTTGCAATATAAAATATAAAACCGATGACAAATGTTAAATATATACTAGGGATGTTCGATATTAATCGAAGCCTAATTATGTAACATTGGTAAGAATCATTATGGCTTTTTTCTCCGATAATGAAAACCTTACAGCGCAATGCTTGGGTTTTGCCAGATGACGTGACCTAAAAATAGTTTTGAAGTGAAAGTGAAAGAGAAACTATTATTTGTATTGTGCACAGTGTTGTCATTGTGACACAGCACACCACCGCGCACAATGAAATGTGAACTCTCCCTTTAACACAAACGGCCGCAAATCAGTATTGGTTTATATCGGATTTGGAAATTAAATATATATATATATTTGACCTCTGCGTTAAAACTTGTTAACCAATCCCTATGGAGCAGAGATAGCTTATAGGGCTTATGGGGCTGTAATTAATAAACACACATTACAGCTAACACCTATGAACTTGTGGAGAGCAATACCTTAAGGGGATATGAGTGATGATACAGTAAAATACAAAGAGATACAGTAAGGCAATGTAATGTTTTGTGTTGTGTTTGTATGAGATCATGTTCCTCAGATGGATAAGACTTTCTCTGCCCACACATTAATACTTTCTCCACCTCTCTGTTTCTCAGTGTTTCACACAGGGTTAAATACCTGACTTAGCTTTTGCTTATTTCATCAGTTGTTTGTAATTGCACCTCCCCTACCCCCGCTCCTCATTACCCCTCTCTCCCATTTTGATATACTACTGTCATTACTCCTCACCGGGCTAGTGTTCACTGCTGTTGCTGCAGTTTTTTCTGGTCTTGCATAACCACGGAGGTTTTACTGCGTTGCATCCTCAGGCGGCGGTGTAACAGTGGGAACAGCGGCCCAGAAAAATGACCTTCTTTTCAGCGCTCGATAAAGACTTTCCTTGACACTCACGGAGTTCTGCTCTCCAAAAGAGTGTTAGTGTGGTTAGATCTATTTAACCTCTGTTAAAATAGAAACACACCACTCTTTAGCAAAGACCAACCCCAACACCAGTGAATCACAGATCAGGTCTGAGTGACCAGAAATTATCAACAACAGCGTCGCCGTTTCATCAGTTTTTTTTACCTGACTTCAGATAGAAAAAAACCCCACAAAATCAAAACTTGACAACAACAATTACCTTCAAATTTGGACCTCAACAAACAAAAGGAAACTTTGAAACTGTTGAACCCCATCGTAGCAAAATAATCTATTACAATTAAAATGATTTAAATCCAGTGACAGCTCTTAAATGTTTTCACACTTTCAAAGTGATTACTTTTAAGCCAGTGACAGCTGACAGTACTGCAAACTGAATACAAAATGTGTTGCTGTGAGAGAACAGAGTGTCAGTCGTAGTATCTGTGTAACACTGCAGTTAAATGTAATGTCTTTAGACAAAGATACAGGAGGAAATACAGGAGTTAATGGACTGTTTAAATTGTTTTTTTTTTCTGTCTTATATTTCACAAAATACCTTTGTCCTAATGTGGATTCATAGTGTGTACATTTGCGTACTGTTTGCCTGCACCTAAAGAAATTCCTCTATCACTGTAGTTTATTGTCTGTTTACTTTGTCCCCGGGTGTCTCTGCCTAATTGCCACTTGCCTTGCAGTGCCTCCTCTAAGTTCTCTCCTAAGCCCCTCTCTCCTCTCTCCTACCTCCCTGTCTAATGTCTTATTATAATTATAAAATGACAAAATTGGAGAAAATATTACAACCAGTGCACAAGGTTCATTAGGAGAGAGATCTAAGATAATGACGACCCCAGAGACTTAACGTGGCAATGTTTCAAACATAAACAAGTGGGTAGAGGCCAGAGCCGGTGGGAGAAATAAGACTGGTGCTACTGCAGAAACAATATACAGTGGTTACGAGCTTGGATCTGCTACGCTTCATCACAGCCAAGTGCAACAACAAAGAGCGAAGACAACACCATCTAAAACAACTCATCACTAAATGATTTTTCCCTGATGGGTTTTTGTCACTCGGGGGTGATCGGATCAAGTCAGGTGTGTCAAAAACACGGCTCGTGGGCCAAAACTGGCTTGCTTGTTGAATTGTAATAATAATAATAATAATAATAATAAAGATACACTTTATGTTTACTATAATTATCGAATGTACTTTTTGCATGACATCAAAAGGGAAAATATAGACTTTTTGGTTATTTACAGGTAAATATATTATGAATTAACTGGTCTGGCCAACCTATTGTTGATAATGAAGAGCAGGAGTAGTTCAAATCCACTCCATTATTAATCCAACAGTACAACAGTAAAACAAACTTTCGGTTAACATTGTCCTGGAGTTGAATTTTACAAAGGCCATTATATACAGCAGCATGTAAACAAAATAAATCATTATGCTATTATGCATGTTCTTAGTGCAGCGAGTCGTGGCTGAGTGAAACACAACGCTGTTGTAGTGAAAAAGAAACAAGTCCCAGTTGAAACGCTACAATCAATTACCAGCAGCCGTGAATATCTAAAGTCCAGCCGAGAGAGTCGTAATTGAAAACGCTCTTGTACGGCCTCACTTTCTTACACTTAAACACATCATGACTGAGACAGCTAGTTTTAATGCACCTGGCAACTCTCACTAATGCCCCCAGTGCACACTGTAATGTGTCCACTTAATCTCCTTGGGCCGTTAGTGGAGGAAGCTCCACCTGTAAGATCAAGGCTGGAGGAGTCGTTGAATAGGTCGCGAGCTGCGACTAAAGCACGGATGATGAACGAGCGTCCTTTAACATTAATGCCCAATCTATACCTGAAATAAGAACGTATAATACACCAACCCTGCCTCACAACATAAAATCTATATTTCCACTCTCAGCGTGCAGTCTTCAGTATCACACTTCGTAAAGAACGTATTGTCTCCGAGGAAAAAACAGTTATTGATGGAGGTGGACAGAGGGCAAGGCCAGACGGTAGTTCCAAGAACTAGTGTTTGAGTTAGGTAATCTACGAGGAATGGTACGTGATGTAGTTAAAGTTAACTAACCTAAGTCATAACACAGAGTTCATCTTGATTAGCTCTTAACATATAATAATAATATACTTTACAAATGTCTCCATTTATAAATGTGATTCACAAACAGTATCAGTAAACTTCCATTCAATTAAATTAGATCAGATTGGATTAGATATTAAAATAAAAGCTTAACAATACCAAATTACTATTAAATTGACGTTTTCAGAAAACAAAAATGCACAGAAGCAGAACATACGGCATTATTCTATTTCTGGTGATATCAACTCAAAAAAATCTGTGCAATAAAAATGTCCCTCTTACATGGACCAACGGTTAAATATGTTAAGTACGATTTGCTTATGTAAATATAAAACTGGATTTATGTCATTCCACTTTTACTGTGAAAGCACAACTCCAATTAGACTGGTTTACTTTTTGGACTGTGAGAAATCCAAAAGCTTGTGCTGTTTTGCAGGTCAGTCTCTCTAGCACTGAATAAAAAATATTGTTTATCGTACATCGCAGAAGCTTTAGTAAGACGAGAGTATGTTCCATCCCATCAACAGTGCACACCTGCAAGTCTTTTAGAGCAAGGTTAACATCCTTCAGTGTTTTTCTGCTCTCTGCTAATGAAGATGGAAAGAAGTGTCTTTGGCGGAAAAGATGGAGAGCGGCTTCGTTCAGATGAAGGCGAGTGTCTGTGTCTGATGCTACAAATAAGACTGCAACGGTGTCCGTCTCTTCCGCAGTGCATGTCACACGTTGTTCCCATTATGATGAAAGTGTCCTGAGATAATGAGGCTTCGCTTTGAATGTGTTTGACAGTTTGACTCTGAAAGCTCTCTTTCTCACTGTTGTTTGGATGACAACACTTTGGCTAAGTCTGCTTTTGTTTTTAATAATGGCGGCAGGGAACACTTGGAAACGCATGACACCACAGGTAAAATATATACAGTATGTTTGGTAAAGTATAAACTATGCAACGTGGTTTCTACATCTTTAAAGATGCAGAGGAAGATAGCTGTGTGAATTACAATGATATACTGTATATATGCATATATGCATATATACATATATACAGTATATGCACTATATACATATATGCAGTAGATAGATAGATGATAGATAGATTCTCATGGGGTCTTTAAGCCACAAGTCTAAATCAGTGACAAACATAGTGAACAATAGTCTTTCGACCTTAATTAACCCTAATCACCACAATATTCTTTAGTTAAGAAAAATGGAAAACTCTGTCTCTACATATCCTGTACTGTAGATCAAACGGGTCGTGAGTGGAGTTTCCATTCGTTAATTTGTTCTTTGTAGAATTCGTGAGGATGTTTTTCCCACAAGGTTACAATCTGCTTCTTTGTCTCTTCAGGTCTGGGGAAGCACTAACTACCTGACGTAGCCTTGTCAAAGTATGCTGCAAAGTTGCCTTCAAGCACAAACCCTCTGCCTGGTGATTGATCTGGCCGTTTAAAGAAGATCAATGTCTATTGACGGAATGACATGGTGAAGGAGACCAGTGAGGTGAGGCTAAGACTGACCTTTACGGACATTAGACTAATAAATCCCACCACACCAGTGGGCGTGATTATTAACCACACAGGTCAAGGATGAAATTACTTCTGCTAATCAAGCTTGTATGTGGATTTGAATATTTCACATTAGGATTGCTCGTTTTTTTTTTGTTTTTTTTCGACTGACTGACCGTGACATGAGGCGATGTAGGGAGAGAAAACAGTAGAATAAAAACTGAATTAGTAATGTGGCCTGGGTCTGCTGGTGTGATCCTGGGGTGTTTTGTAATATTGATAAGCTGAATGCAGTAGCAATGACTCATCTGGAGCTGGGAGTGGAGTTTAAAAAACAGGTCACAGGTTTGTTTTTTTTTTTTTTCAAATAAGAATTGCTGAAATCATATCTCATACAAAGCAACGGAACTTTTTCCTTTATTTACTTTTTCGTCATCAATAATTTAATCTAACACCTCACGGTGTCTCACAGCTTTTACTTTTTTAGTTGAAAGATACATCGTCGGAGGTTCCAGACAAGTGTTGTTTTGTACTGACCTGTCAACGTCACTAGCTTTCTACGAAACTATCGTTACGGTTAGCAATTTTAGCATTTTTAGGGAACACTTCATTTGGGGAAACCCAGGCATTGCATTATTGGGTTTTCATTATCAGAGGAAAAAACGCTAACGATTCTTACAGATATGACTTAAAATGCTAATTTTGGGCCGATAATATTGGTCCATAGATATAACTGTACATCCCTAGTATATATATATATATACACATATATATATATATATTTACATAATATGTTTATTTTATAGAAATATATATGTTTATATAAAATGAAAGGATATATATATATAAGTATTTTTTTCATGTCTTTTTTCTTTCTCACAATAATGCTCCTGCTTCAAGGAATTGTGGGTAGCTATTGTCTTCTTTACAAAGGAATAGTCCTGTGTGCTCAAGGAGATAAGATAGGAAGCTGTATGGCTTCCTTCCTTAGGGTATAAAGAACACGGCCAGCTGAAGGTCACTGCACAAAAATCCCTAATGGAAAAAAAAGTTGTTTTCGTTTCTCTAGTTCTTCTTTACAAAATTCCGCCAAAAGTCTTTTAAATTAAGTACACTTCCCCTTTTTTGCATAGTGCTGTTTCACTGTACAAAATATATTTATTGTGTAATTGAGGCAAACGGCCTCCAGGTAATTCCACATAATTTACTGGCCAGTAATGAATAGATGAATCCCTGCAGGTGATCATTATATTGAAAACCGTTAGTCCTGCGTCTGCAGAGCCACTTGAACGGCCTTGAGAGAAAAGAATCAATGTGTAAACAGTTTTGAAATGATAGCACCGTACGTATGGAGCGTGTTCTTTCACATTACTGTTGTGGATGTGAGATAGAAGTAGCTACGCTTCTACCTGAGAGAACAATTACGATATATCCTACAGAGCTAAAAAATTGTGATTCACGCTGTCGATTGGCCTCAGCAACAACAAGTCACGCAATGGTCTACGTATTACACATAACACCCGTTATTATGAATGGCCGTTAACAATGGTGCGTACATGCTGTCAGGTATTAATAATCCCGTGTTTTGAGCCCCCGCTGTGACCACGGAGAAGACGTGTGGTCATTATCTGCTCTGACGTGGCTGTTTAATCACGGCTCTAAATGAATACGTCTCACTAATGATTTCAGCCGTTCCTAAGCTACGACCTGGTCCTAGTTAAAAATCAGACACTCATCTTTGACCTCATTCAATGATAGACATTGGAGAAAACTCATCATCGGTGCAAAATGGACTCAAGAGTTTCGTCAGTCGTACACTGTGTAAATGTTTACTTATGTTTAAATGTGAACCTCTTGCAATGTTATCGTCACTTTTCCTTAATAGGGTTCATGCTCCATTAGGTTGTTTTGTTTTTTACAGCAGTTAAATACTTGCAACAGAGCTGCTGTTTGTGCCAGATTTACCTCAGGTTCTTTAATTAGGGATTAGTACTCTAGTTAGTCAAAGTACTAATTATAACCTTATTTATTTGTCATCATTGAAGTCAGACTGAAGTCATTTCCAGTGAATACTTATAATATTATACTGATAAGATCATGTATTTCATTCTCAGTCATTGTCTGTTTTTAGACATACAGGCCAAATAAAAGCACTGGGTAAAATAAGCTGCTGGTATTGAGAGCATTGCAAAAATATATATATTTTTTTACCTTTTCCGTGTCAACGCCTGGTGGTCTGGTCCTGTATGGTCTGCAGGTTACTGCTGTAAAATCCCACAGGGATGAGGATTGAGCATCTGTTCTGTCTGATGAGCAGGTGGACACAATCAACTTGACTCCGAGGCGCTGCGATAAGCATGTGATTTCCTCCATCAGAATTGTCGACATGACTCTTTCCTCCAGTCCAGCCGTGGTTACTGCACCTCTTTTGCCCTGTTGTGGTGCAGTGCACCGTGTGTGGCAATCTGAAACAGATTCATTTGGAAAGAGGAAATTATGTTGAAGTGATTAAAGACAAAGTCAAAAAATCGACAATGTTCAATGCATAAAAAGGGATATTCCTGCTAATGTTGTAGAAGATGAGCCTCTCCTGTATGTTGTTTCATCACTGTCTAAAGTCATAATTGCTGTTTAAGTTGTTCTGTACAATGTTTAATATTCAAATACATATATTTAATATATTAGTTAATATTCCTGCAGACATACAGGTTTTTTTTCTATAGTTTCCAACAAGGCTAGCGTCTCTCTTGATTTCTCTGTCACTTATCCTCAGAGGTCACTTTGGATACTGTCTGTCGATTTCCTTTTTTTTTTTATCACAACACCATATCTAGAAGGAAATGTGTATTAAATAAGCTATTTGGACTCAGTAAAGGTGTATTTAAGACTGCCTTAAGCTGTCAATCCAATGACCGGCGATTTCTGCTGAGGTGACGTTACAGGCGTTGGACATATTTGTCATGAAAGGAGATTTATTTTCTGGGCATGACCAGCGATTTACTCTATTTCATTGGGTTATCAATCATTTTGTCAGTTCCCACCATTGGTTAAAGTGTATTGTGTACAGTCAGGCCTATACTGATGCTAGTGTTGGTAGTGGTGCAGTCTTAGTGGTGAGACTGAAGAGCAATGATGCATAAAGTCGAGAAATTAGAAAACCTTGAACCAATTTTTTTTCGACTGATATATTTCTATTTATTTATTTGGATTTCAAATTAAATTGGTTTGTTGGCCCTGGAACATGTTGTACGGTGTGTTGTGTGTGTGCGAAATGTGGTGCACACACAGACACACACACACATACAAATATTCCGCTCAGGCTTTTCTGATTTGATGTTATGCCACAAGTTAAAAGGCTGCTGCTGAAAAAGCACCTCATTAGCATGCTACAAAAGTAGCTATTTATTATAGGGCTGCATGACATTCAGGCCGGATCTACAGCAGTGAGAAATGACAATACAAACAGGTGATGACAAATTTTATGACTTTGTGGTTTTTAACTCGGGTATTCATTTTTTCTTTTTTTTTTAAATTTTTTTTCCTCATGCAAAAAAAAAAAATCAGTTTTTAAATTAAACTCAACATTGAAAAACTGACTTATATATCTGTCACAGTTAGTGTTTGTCAAAGAGTGAATTAAACACTTAAGTTTTTTTAACAGTAAATGATACATAAAAAACTCAATATTTACATTTCTTGCGGACATTTTTCTCCAGTTTTCAGTATTTTTCTTTCAACCTTGTATAATTTATACCAATTGCCCAAATTTCACGGTGCTTTGAACCATAAAACTGACGAACCAAAGCATCAGACAGACGTCCATTTAGCCAGAGGAAAAAAAATCTCCTGGCTGCACAAGAACACGACAGAAACAAAGATCTATCAGACTTTTTTAGATCTGAACTACCATCAATAAAGTAGAGTAACTTCACAGATTTGATGAATGTGCCCTTTAATGCAACAGAGCGTTTTCAACTAAGGCCCCGTCACCAAACTGTTGTCTCAGGTCTGTGCATTAATCCTCCTTAAGCTGAGAGTGGAGTCAGGGACCGGTTCCCTGTGCAGCTGAATCTCACAGTGACTCAGTGACTCATTAGTACTGTTGTGGAGAATCCATCACACATCGCACTTAAAGCTAAAGACGACTCTGCATGTCTCTCTCTCTCTCTGTGTGTTTCTACCTTTATTATTATCTTTAAGACACACATTTTTCTTCTGTAGCGAGCGTCAGTTGTCAAACCAAAGTATTGTCTGTTGGTTTTAAGGATCATATAACCAGGAGTGCTGCCAGGACTTCTGGGCTCCATGAAAGGATATGACAATGGGCCTTTATTAAGAACATATATTAAGAAAATATATACCTACATACCATATGTGATTCAAAACACTCCAGTTATTATTATGATCAGAGTGAATAATCAGTGAATATAATCTGCTGATATAATATTATATTTTTTTAGCCCCTAATCAGTCTGGGGTCCTTGACCGCGACAGAGACAGTTAGAGACAGATAAAGAGGCAGGGACAGGGACAGGGACAGAGACAGAGACAGTTGGAGACAGATACAGAGGCAGGGACAGGGACAGGGACAGAGACAGAGGCAGTGCTGCCAAATGCCTCTATTTCAGTCTGGAGTGTGTGTCGTATCCCTTTACACAGCCGCTCCAGCCAGAGCTCACTGTGGTAAATGTGACACATCAATTATTGATGCGCAGTAATGCACACTTTGCCTCAGTACGTTCCCCGGTGACTCTGAAGAAAAAGAAAAAAAAAAAATTCTGCCCTGCACTCACTGCAACATCAATTAATTACAACAGCATCCTGCTAAGTTTGAGATATGTCTCGTCGACGTTTGAAGAGTGAGTTACTGCAAAAGTTTTGCGATGGCTGCCGTCGGGGATTTGGTTCAGAATCTGTAAATGTTGGCAACGTGGGCAGAGCCGAGAGTGATTTAATTGCCGACTCTCCTGCCGACTTAACACTGAATAAAGGGGAGATCTGAGAGAGGAGAGAGTGCCTTTTTGACCTGCGTCTAATCTGATCACAGATGATATCTTGTGTGTCTTTTTTTTTTTCTTATCTGTTTCCACATGTCTGTTTAAAACCCAGACTTCAGTTACAGGTTTCCCCTTCACCTTCTTTAACCCTGGACTAGCACTAATACCATTTTTATTACTAATATTATTTTCTTGGATATATTTAGATATATTTTAGTCGAAATTACTTTGCAAAAGTTCCAAAGTGAACTGTTATTCCCACGGCAAATCCCCCATCAGAGAAAAGAAGTTAAGAATGTAAGGAGGATAACAGGGTGATGATGGTTTTTTAATTAATTATATATTTTTTTACTAGTAAAGGTGTACTGGCAACCTGCATACTGGAGATTATTTTTTGAAAATTAATACTCAAAACTTTGCAAAATCCTCATGAAAGCCATGACGTTATTCTGTTGAAATATGGAACATATCTCTCCAAAGAAAACCCACAAGATGAGATGGATGAAAATGAGCTCTGGGTGCAAATAATTTTTTTTGTTCTCACTCTTGTTATAGACACTGTAATAATAGCGTAAGGCATGTTTCAAATATTGGTTCTACACCCCCCCCCCCCCCCCCCCCCCTTCAACTTGGTCCATTTCTTTCCCCTCATCACCATTAGTCTATTCTCCCACAGTTTCACGCCACACTCAGGCATTTCTTCTCATAAACTGGGACACGGCTGAGCCATCTATCTCCCGCTCTTAACCATTTTATTCTCCATCCCCTCCTTTCATTTCTCTTTCTTCTGTGTCTTTTTGCCTTTTTCTAAATGCCCTATTAGACCATTGATTAGCCATAATTAGATTTTTTCCCATCTCCTCTTCCCACCGCCTACAGTTTCAATTATGTATTATTCACAATAAATAAGACAGTTACCCATGAAGCAAAAAAAAAAAGAACAACGTTCTGCACTTGGGCTCTGCCCTGATGCTTTCTATGGATGACATTTTGATGAGGACAGTATTTCTGCAGCATCTTATTGATGCAGTTACACATTGTGGCCTCTGGTAGGCAGAACTTTACACAAGCATATGCAAAAATATAATAGTTGAGGATATTAATTAACAAAACTAACAAATAAAGAGTTCTGCTTTGTGCTCATTTGGTTCTTTTTTTTTTTCCCTGCAGCAACAGGTGCTTGAAGCCCTTGCTGTAAATTGTGCACCTCTGACACATATGCACATAATAAATGCATTTTATTGTGTACAGTTGCAGGAGGACACTGAGAAAGTCAAGGATATCGTGATTAGAATTTGCATTTTATTTCTCCAGGTAGCTGATGGAAATGTGCATGGATTCGAGCGGCTTGAAAATCCGAGCTTGGCTTTGAAAATCTCTCTCTGCTCCGACTTGAGCAAAATCTCTGGATATCACCATCGGCTGCGTCTCCCACGGAAATCTGCAAGGACACCTAACCCGTCCGGCAGATCAGGCCCAGTTTTTAAAATGATTCCAGCGGGGGAGACATTTTAATGAATTAATATGCTTTGGCCCAATTAGCCTTTTGCACCGCAGTAATTATCGTACACATTTATGCACTAGAAATCGGGACATCACATTCTGCAGTTCTGTGAACCCAGAGGACTGTGGGACTATTTTTGAGTCAGAAGAGGTCAAATGTTTCTTTGAATTTGAATGTGATGTAACTGATGAGCAGTCTGAAGTCGGACTTTTCGGATGTTTTTATGTCCTAGATCATGACATCAGCACTGTGTTACCACAGGTGAGTGACAAAGGTACTGATGTACAGTATGTGAGGTCCAACTTAAGGCGAATTACGTCGTACCGTAGGAATGGAACACTGATGAAGCTCGAGGACCCCCAGTATTGATACTAACAGGCTGTAATATTTCAACACAACAACTACAGTACATGGTGAAATAAATAAAAAATAATAATGAGCTCTAATTATTCCACTCCCTGAAACCGAGCAGATCTGCAGAGTGTCATTTCCTCTATTTTTTTACTCACTGGAGTGAACTAGGAGAGGGATAATTAAAAATATCTGTCATGTTTCTTAGCCCTGTGACTCTGTAACGCTGTTAGCTGACGTCTAGCTTCTCCAGACAGATAATGACCTGCTGCTCCCGAAGAAACGAGCTCTCTTCACTTATCTAAGTAACTTTCTACTCCCTCTTTCCTTGGAATGCATAACTCTCTGTATTCACTCTGACCGTGATCATCGATAAAGCGATTTTGATCAGAGCTTTCAGCCTTGAGCCACAGTAACACAACCCGCGGTCAGAAATCAGATGTACGGCATATTTAGTTTAGTAGGATTAATATTCTTTTTTGTAATGCTCTGTTCAATGTCTCACACTTAGGGACAGCACATCGCTGATATAGTGAAAAGGAGAGAGTTAAAAATATATGAGTCAGAACAGAAGAAGGCTGACAGAAAGTGAAGAGAGAGAGAGCTGGAGTTGGAGAGAGAGAGAGCTGCCGGACATATAGGAGTGATGAAGGGAAATGTCTGAGTGTGAGTCAGAGCAAACATGACACGACAGTCAGCCAGGAAACAACCAGGCTGGCTGGCTGGTCTTTGGCATCTCACACACTTTAATTAAAATAGATCGGGGATAAGGAAAGGGAGGAGGAGTCTGTTACTATGGTGACGTGAAGTTAGACGGAATGACATCTTAAGTTGTCTGAAGTGAGAATTGTGTGCATTTCTGCCCCTTTTCTTTACTGATTTCTTTGGTATACATTTATTTAGGGTAGAAAAAAATATAAATATATTAACCACTAAAGTGAGATGTCAAAAGGTCAAGTAATTAATTATTAACAAAAATATATTAATTCATAATTATTATTCTTAAGTATAAAGAATCCAATTGTTTTATTATTATTATTTCAGCTAAGAGGAGCTACAGTACTCACAGTAGTTCTCATGCCCTCCAATTGGTTGCTAAGCATCCACATGGCCAATCAGTGCTCAGGGTCCGGGTTAAAGACCACCGCTCCAGTCTTGTTCCTTGGTGTTTCTGCCCACTGTCCTGGAGTACAAGTAGAAAAAATAAAGGTGAAAACCTGTCTCTACTGCAATGAGATCGCTGAGTTGCTGGTTCAATTCCCGGTGTCTCTGTATAGAGTTTGCATGTTGCTGTCCTCTGTTGAGTGGGATTAGTGATAACAATGTGATTACCTGCACACCAGAGGTTTCCCTTTTCTTTGTTTAATCTACACCTCATTCAGTTGAATGTTACTGAAGTGCTGCTCTTCACATGTGTAAGTGTGTGTGTGGCTGCTAGGATTTACTCATTCAAACCACTGCGGTGCTTAGCGGAGGCTCCTCGGACCCCCATAGAGCCTCGAGAGCCTGGCAGCAGTTCATCATTCACGCAGGATGAGGGTGATTACTTGGCTACTGTATTCTGGGTCCTGGATCTAAACGGGGCCTTAGGAATGACAGTGATGAAGGCATATGATCAGCGGTGGGTTTGGCAGCAGCTTTTTAACATTCACGGACTCACTTTATTTTTTCGGTGATAGCTGTTGAGTAAATCTTTATTACGCCTGTCAAGGAAAAATCCCTCCAGATTACAGCTCTCTGCTAATGTGTCATGATGATTCAGTTACAAGAAGATTTCAGAGTCTCACAGTCACAGCTGTGGTTAAATTGCACCAACATTGTGTTAATTCTTACCATCATTATAGGTTCCTGGTTTTTTTTTTCTTGTGTCAGATATTGTCTTTCCGCCCTGTGCTCCACGTCCTGTACTTCAGAGCCACAGTTCTTCATCCACAGTTCTTCATCCACAGTTCCCTCCACGGTGATTACTGAACCACTCCCACCTGCGCCTCGTTAACTCCTCCCACAGCTCAGTGACAAAACCTGTCACTTTCCTTTTCTGCCAGTTCATCCCTCCTCACAATAAATGAAACCCTAAAAGAACTTTGTGGGTTTTTTTTCTTTACTTTAGCTTCTGATTGACTACTTTTAGCAGAAAATGCTTCTATTGGCTCTGGTACAAGACAGAAACTTGTTGCCAAACTAGCCTGCCAAAAACTGCATTAAAAGATTATAGTTTGATATTTTAATTGGCTGTTAGGGAAACTCCTTATTGGCATGTACACGTGGAAAGCATGAAATACTCAATATTTACTGAAGCATTCAGTGAAATAAAAAATCATTCCATACTGTTGTTGACAGTTTCTGATAAGACATGGATTTTTTTTTTCAAATTATTTCATTGAAATATTGTTTTTTATTTTATTTGCTAGTTGCCGAATTTTACTATTGTTTTTTTCTAAATTATAATCTCGTTAAGAGAGAACAGATTTTAACATCAGGAGTTAAACAACAAATATCGGCCACTGAGCACACACCTTAACTGTCATTTTCTCCGTCCTCCACGTCTGACTACTGCATGTACAATCTCCTAAAAGCCTACAAGCCTGTGCGGCGCACGTCCCCTCATTGACCACTCTGCTGATCAATATGCTTGGCTTCCACAGTGACTGTCAGCATGCACGGCCACACAGGCAGGAGTAGCAGCTTGTTGTAGCTATTGTTGGCCTACACATACACATACTTCTACTGACAGGAGTTACAGTGGATAAGAAGAAAAAGAATCTTCCTTCCACATGCTAACAGTGTGGGAGGTGCTGCAGTTTATCCCTATTCGGTTCACAGCAGGAAAGTGCTAAGTTTGGGGGGGTGGGAGGGGCGTAGGATGTCTGCAAATGATCCTTTATGTTCCTTAATAACTATGGATCATTTTTTCACTTCTAACATGTTTCTACAGATTACTGCAATAGTGATTTTAGAGAAGTACCTCTGGGGTAGACACTGCAGTAGTTTCACAGTACTTCAGCTAAAATGGTGGTTCCAGTGTAAATGCATGTTTTATCTTTAAACTAAACATTGTCTGTGTAATGTCTACAAATGTAACAGAAGCATATGTTATTTTACATTAGATTTAAAATGTATTTAAATCTAATGTAAAGGTGTATTTTTTTTTACACCTGCAACTGGTTTAAATGCAAATACTAGCAAAAAACAAAACAAAACAAGAACACAATTATTAAATAAAGCACGTGGGTGACCACAGCAGGGTCCACGCACCATGGTTTGTGCACACCATTAATATGTCTAAGTCTACAGTAATGGTGTGTTTCTAACATGTTTGCAACCCAAGAAAGGATCACTAACTTAAATCGAATGAAAACACCATTGTTTTATTTGGCGTACCCATAATGCAGCTGTGTCATATTTTAGATTTAGATTCAATTATATATATATATACAGTGACTGCCCTGACACCTTCACAAATATATACGGAGTCAAACAACCGCTGAGGTACCGTCCGATCCCTGAAATGAGTCACTCCTCAGAGAGGAACACAAAATACAGACCAGTGTCAGACTATTACAGGACGTGTTTCTGAGGATGCTGCAGGAAGAAATCACCACCTGAGCGTCACCTCAGTGAGCACACACACTCTGACCTCAATAAAGTGGGAAGGAAGTGATTTGGCGTGGGTGTTTCCGTACACACACACACACACACACAAGCAGGCGTACATGTGTATTTGTTGTGCGCGTGTTGTCATCTGTGTGTCATCTGTGTGTGACAGGCCATCAGTAACGCTGGCAGGTGGGAGATTTCACTGCCGGGGGCCTTCGGGGAGAGAAAGATGGAGCGTGGCAGCGACAGGGCAGGGTCTTCCCAAAGGTTCCTGGTGTGTGTGTGCAGTACACTGTTAGTGTGAGAGTTCATGGGAATGAATGGATGTGGAAGGCAGTTACTGTAGGTGAGGCCTGTTGTTTGGATTGACAGCTGAATGCATCATTTATAGCATCTATCCACGACAAACACCCAACAATGGCTTCAACAGTACTGCGAGTCTTTGTGGCGCTCTCCTCTCTTCACCTCCTTTGTTTTGATTCCCCTAATTGTTACCCTGGAAGCCTTTATATCTGTATAGTCTGTTCATTAGTTCCTAATGACACACTGACTCTGCAAGGTCAAATAGTAGGCTCTAATTAACGATAAAATGCACACATTTCTCTCTACAGGTTTAATTCATAATAAAAAATATAGTATTTTCTTTATTATCTAATAAAGAAACCCTACTCCATTCTTAACAAGCTTGTCATCGTACTTTCAAAATGTACATTAAGTGCTGTGTATGTGTATTAAGGGCTGTCAAATATTTACATTTTCAACTAGATTAATCACAAGGCAGCTGTGGATTCATCGGGATTAATCACAATCTTAAATTAGCATGATACCTGATTATTCAAGGTTACTTTTCGTTCCTAAATAGTACAAAAACGTGAAACTGACATAGCGTCACGTTTCATTAGCAGCAAGGTCGCCCAAGGTTGTCCCAAATCTCAGAGCTGATAATTCAAATCCACTGTATTTGACCTCGTGTCTCTTATTCGGTTTGTAAACAAATTTATAAAAAGAACCCGTGCAGAAGAAAAACAGAGAGGACGATCGTGTGGTTACGACTTTTAAAATGAAGCCGTAAAGTAAAGACAGTAGATAAGGATAAACCAGTGATGTGGATTCAATGTTAATAAAACCAGACACAGATACAATTAAAGCCACGGTTGATGGCGTTCCTCATAACAGTTCCCATATTAGAGACATTTATCATCGTGGCCCAGTATCTGCACTGCAGCCACATCCTGGTACCGTTACTATCTACCACTCTACTATGACCATCTTGGTTATGAGTGTAGCTGCAGAATAATAATGAAAATATATATATATATGTGTACCATGGGTCACTGATTATCGTGATACTTCATGAAGGATGTTTCTTTTACGAGGAAAGGACTGAGTATCGTCAGCGCGCGACAGTTTTCGTTTCTACTCTGATTCACCTTTTGAATATTATGGGTTTAATGCAACAATGTTATGACTGGAGTCAATGACTGGACACAAGACACACACCAACGCGCAAGGGTCTTGGAGTGTGTGCACGTGTCACACTGTCAGGTATCAATGTGTCCTGTAGCTGCTGAAACATGAAATGGATTCTGTCAGTTTCCTCCTCCTTAATGGTCAGGTCACACACAGATGCAGTGAGAGAGGGACAGAGAGGGACAGAGAGGGACAGAGAGGGAGAGACAGATTATTGTGGATAATCTGTGCACATTAAACCCATTAGTAGACACATGGTGTGTTTAGTCAGTGATCACAGCAGCGCTACACTGCATCTGAGCTGTGATGAAACTTTTTTTTGCCCAAATTACCATCTGGTTATAATTCATTATTTATTATTTTTCAAGACTAACATATTGATCTTTTACAATAAAGTGAACGAGCAGCGAGGAAATGTGTTGCATTCAAAACAGGGCTAGCGAATTAGCTGAGTTTTTTTTTTTTTGTGCTAACATTTAAAGCAGAAAACACCAGATGCTGTTTGTCTTCATCACACTGAACGAAGGTGCTGATTGTCTGCGTGCTGTCTTCATCACTTCACTAAAAGGATGAAGAACGCCTCTACCTAGGGGCTTCTTTCTGCCGCCACTAATTTGATTCTGAATGTTTCCACTTTGTAGCTTAAGCAGCAAGTGAGTGCAATCACAGAAGGAAAACCTGTTCCCAATATCTGAGGTACTTCAGCGTAGTACTTCCGAAACAAATATCAATCTGTTGTTGCCGTGCTGTACTAAATGCACTAAATGTCACAGTCTGTGTACAGAGTGACTCATCTATGTAGAAAACACTTACCGACTGCAGCTCCATCATTTGGTGTCCCTTCCTTTTAAGTTTAATAGTTAGTGCCAGGCCTGGAGGATTAGGTGACTCACAGGACCAAAAAATGCAAACATTGTAAACTTTTGTGACCATGATGCGATCAGGAGTCGATACTTCCTGGAGAAATCTACAGTTTAAAACCAAACTAATAACAGTGTTCTCCATTATACAGCTATTATTTAGTTACTGACAGCAGCGTCATATTATAGCTGGTAAAACAGATGCTTGGCTTGTCTGGTGTTTTAGAGCTTAATTTCTGCCTTCATGCATATGTGTCAACACACACTCATATGGGAGACGTTTAATTAGCAGAGCGACGGGAGTCGGCAACAGCTGACAACCCCGTCAACCACTAAAATCCAAATATCCAATTAAATTGAGAGTTTGGAGAAAACCTTCTAGTAGAACTGAACGAATAAAGGCAATTGGTTCATGCCGTTATACCGATCTTTTGCAACAAATAAATAGACGCTCCAAATCCAGAAATAAATAACAAATAAATAATTTGATAGAATTTTGAAAATGGAGCTCTATCTGCTCATGAAAAAGTTGAGGACAGAAATCAGATTTGTCATGCTAGAAACTAAATTAACATTTTTTTTTTAAATAACAACAAACCTTTTACTCATAAATGTATCACCTAAATCATAAATCTTAGGTCTTCTAATATTCCTCATACTTACGTACTGTACTCCGCAGGTACTACTAACAGTAGGTGACAGTATTGACTTTCAGACGGAGGCACACAGGCAAACGATGTTAATTTACCCTCAGCTGCCATTATCCAGCTGACGTCTGTCATGCTAATTGCTGTAGCTCTTTGTGAAAGACCTTTTGTCTGGGGCTTAATGTCACATTATAAACCAGAAATTTTCTTTCCCAGGCGATAACTCTAATGTAATGTAATGTGTAAACAACCCTTTTACCTTAATTCACCTTTACCTTAATAACAGAAACCAACATATTCTATATAGAGCACTGTTTTCCTTTTTTTTCCATATGGGTGAAGAACAGACTAGAAATCCTACATGGTCTAAAACCAGTGACCATCAACTTTCTGAATCCTCCAATCTGACACGTGACTAGATTCCAAAATGATCGTATTGGATAATGCCCTACTTATTCTGCGTAGTCGGCACTTTGTACAAACACTTTTGCATTAGGTCTATAAAAACCTGAATCGATTAAAAGCAACAGCATAACGAAAACAAATGTCGTCCTCCAGATTTATTTCTTTAAACTGCCTTTTTCCTAGTTTGTACACAGGGCACAGACTAATTAAAGCAGACTCTCTCTTTAGCCTGCTTTGCATAATTGATGCTCAGTTTCGTTTCTTAAAAAAAAAACACCCAAACAAACAAAAACAAATGTCTCTGGTTTTACTTCGAGGAAGCTCTGTGTTTACCCTCTCACGTGGAGAGAATTAATGAACAACACCGAAATCAATTAGTCTGACACAATTATTTCAACATCTGTGTTTTTTTTTTCTCCCAAAGACATTTTGTCCTTGTGCTGGGTGGAAAAAGTTATCCCATTTAAATAAAACTAGATAAATAAATACAAATAGAAATCAAGCACAGGACAGAGAATATTGTTCATGTTGCAGGTGATGGATTTACGTAAAAAATATTATTTTTAAAATGTTGCGTTAATGCAAGCCTTGCAACGCAAAAACACACGTGAACAACAATGTAGAGTAGTGTTTTTGGCCAATTTTGGCCTCCGGGCCGTATGTTTGACACCCCTGGTATAGACCATGTACGAGGTAAAATAAATAAATAAATCAATCCATCTGAAGGAGCTCTTTCATGTAGAACATCCCTGTCTGCCAGCCCATTCACTATCTCCCCCTCTCTAAGCATCTCTTCCTTCATCCCTCACCCATCCTCCCCCCTCTTTCTCGCTCTCTCTCTCTCTGGGACTCGGTCAGTGCTTAGCAACATGCCTCACCGTGCAGTCAGTCAAGTGGTGCTGAATGGATATGCACATGCACTTCATGCTACACAGTGTTTGTCCATAAATTAGCTCAGGTGCTTCCTGGCAGTTCAGGTGCAAATGCCTAAACTTTGGGTCGTCACATAAACAATCTTTACAAATATTAATCTGGGTTTTTTTTATATATTTATAAGTACATTTATTGCTTTTATCAATAACTTTTCACCCGTGTCTTCTCCTTGTTAATGTTCTTCTTCTCTTTAACAATAACGGTTTCCATTAGTGCTGCTCTGTTCATTCATTCATTCCTTTATCTTTTTTTATCCCCTGTGATCCGTCTCCTCCGGTCAATTCTTTCACCTTTGCTCCCGTTTTTTGCCTTCATCTTCCACATCGGATAGCCACTGTAGCCATGGAAACAGTCAAAGTGTGTGGTGACGAAATAGATTTTGTAAAGGCCAAACCATGGATTACTTACCTGAAACACATACACACATACACTCACACACACACACTAGAGGTTTTCCATCTTCTCCTTAATGTCACTTGAGAGATTTTTCAAGTTTTTTCTTTTCAAACTCTGCAGAATCTAATAGCAATTTTCTTCTTCTTCATTTTTTTTTGTTCATGCCAAAAAATGTATCAACATTTCAAAATGCAACTTTCTCCTCGTTTGTTTAATTACATTGAATCCAACCGCCAATCAATCCACCTCCACGGAATGCTAACTGTTACTAAGTGACATTAGCTGACATAATTTTGTTCCTGATTGGCTCAGGAGAGGATGTATGCTATATTTACTTGTTTCATGAGGACGTCAAGAAAATAAATAAGTTTCTGGTTGAGGGTGAATCTTGAGCCAATCAGACTGTGTAATGGACCTACTCCCTCATCTGAGTATTACTGCTCTGTGGGAGGAGATCAGAGTAAACCCACACAGTGATCAAAATGTTATCATTTCACATTATAATATGAAACACCAGTAGATGGAAATGGTAAGCTACATCATTTAGCGGTGAGCTGCATCAATCAATTTGTGCGTATCGCTAGAAATATTGTCCCTGCGCAAACATGGAGCGTTGACTTTTTACAGGTGACACTAAAGTCACCGAGAAGCACAATTATCCTACAGAACGAAGTGTTCTTTCAAATTAGTTCACAGGATTTGACGAGAGCTTCTGAGCAAATATTTGCTCGTACTTCTAACATTTACTTTTTCCTCCTCTCTTTTTCTTTTTCTTTCTGTCTCACGCTGTCTTCCTCTCTTTTACTCCCTCTCTTTCTGCACCTGCCCACACCTTTTAAGACATCAGGGTAACTGTGATTTAACGCGAGATTCCGTTCGCTTCTCTGTATTCTTCATTCCGACACATTAAGTATGAAATATGCTCCTGGAAGGTGCTCTCTGCTCGGCTCTTAATTAAAACCTCTCATTGGAGGAGCTGTTTTTAAAAGCTTAAAGTTCAGAGAGATATATCACATTTTTCAGTAGTGCGTATCAAAAAACCAAATACAAAGTGTGAACTGGTCTGTCACTTCAAAGCCCTCGCGAGTCTGGCCAGTGTTTTCTGCCAAAGCAGTGAGTCACCCATGTCCTCCCTGCATGGAAGCCATGCTACTTGGTAACTAAGCAGAAGGAAAAATAACAGACTTTCATATCTTTGTCTTTGGGGCAAATGCTGCTCTCCTCTCCATCTGTCTTAGGCTTTATCGTCAGTTTTATTCCATTATTCTTTCCTTATTGTGTTGTCAACCATCCCCCACATCACGACCGACCCGTGCTCAGCCAATTCTCTCTGGGTCACATCTGGCAGTAACACAGCTTCTGTTGGAGCTTATGGTCTGTTACGCAATGTCCCATATTTGTTCATCAATAACAGACTTTTGTCCTTTGACTTATTGTTTCTTTTCGTTTGATGCTTGAGCCCTTTTTTCTTCTATTACAGAAAAAAAAAATAAGGATTTGCTACACTCGTTTTGCCTTTAGTGATATTTCCAAAAGTGTTTCAGATGAGTGTCTTCCAGAACCTTCTGGCTCTATGTGAAAATCGAACCCCTGTTATTTACATTCTCCTTTACTGCTCTCAATCCCATTCACGGTTATTGTCTATTGGTGCATACAGCTGGCCAACTGAGCATGTGCGACATCAATAACTCTGCACAGGCTTTGCAGAAATGGCCAGCTGGCTCTATCTTGTTACATGCACTTGCCAGCATATTGCAGATGCCATCGTCATATTGTGTTGTTAAAGGGGAAGCATGTTGTTTTTTCATGTTCCCTTGGTATGCAGCGTTTAGAAACATCGAGCATGTATCCTCCCTTCTCTGACCTGCAGACACATGCATTTGAAATCACTGCATACAAAGTGTATGAAAAAGGTATAACATTATCAACATTATATTTTGTGTTGGACAGTAACAGGCTATAGCAAGTCTTCCAGGCTGGGAAGAGTGTTTAATTAGCAGATGTGAGCGGTAGCCGGGCTGGCATTTTCACCTGTGGTGACCACCATTAGTCATTTGAGTCTGTGAGTCAAGTTTTTAGAGTTCAACGTCTCCAGGCAGATGTGGTTCGCTTCGCTGCATTCATCATTTTAACACATTAAATAGGGAAATCATGCAAGGTGTTTTCTGCCCAACTGTTAATTAACAACTTTCAGAACAGCGGCCATTTTAGAAGTTAAATGTCACTACCATGTAGCCAGTTAGCTTGTGATGAATATTTAATGAGTTAATATTACATCTAGAGCATGTCTTGTTTGCTCGCACCGAAAGAAATACAAAGAAAATAAAACGTAGGAACCTTGCTGGTGTTCGCCGAGTACTTTCTGTGACCCTCTTAAAATGCACGAGGGGTTTATCTTTCAATTCTCCTGTGTGTTGTTATGTCGGGAAATCCTGAATCCTGTTTCGTTAAGCTCGGCAAATGACCATCAGCGTTTGACTGCGGGTCCATCCCTTCAGTGCTGCTAGCCAAATTGCACCCATTAGAGCAGAGCCGCCTGGATGTTAGTGAATTCTGGCTTTTATGACACTGGCCCTGCCGAGGAAATTACTAATTGGGAATATTAACTCATGCATCACAGATATGAGCATCTCGGAAAATGTAGTGAGCGCAGTAATGTGGTTAACTCTGAGTAAGAGAAATGATGATATATGAAGACTTGACATCGTTTAAGGTGCAGTAGGTGGTGGAGTCTGTGGCAGATGGTAATTTGATCTCTTTTAGATCATAATACTGCCAACACATTAGGTAAAGAGAAACAGCTGCATTTATCATTCAGGTGCTGCCACCCCCTGGTAAACTTTGGGACTGCACCTGTGTGATACAGTTAATTACTTCCTATAATTTGTCCTAATGGGCAAAGAGTGAGTACTACAGTTAATTCACCACCCACACAGTTTATATTTCACTTACATGTTTTTTTTTAAACACAGGTAAAGTGTTGTCTGCAGAGTCAGTAGTGACGGCTGAGCTGGACCTGCTGAGGCCCTCTCCTCTGATAACTCAGTGGAACACACTGTGCAGAGACTCATCTGTGTGATTATGCCAATGTGGCTTTGGAATGGACTGCTCGTCCATTTTCTTGCACCACTGCCGCTCCTCCACAGCCCCGTGTGATGTAATACAAATGCCCTGAGTGCAGGATTTACCAGAACTCCCGGCAGTGATGGAGTAATGTGACATGGACTGCCATTATCAAAGGTCGGCTCTGCCATTCTGTCAATATACAACAGAATCATGGCTTCCTGACAGACGTAACTCACGCTTAAACAGGAATGGGTTATTAATTAGTATTCCGATAATGATTGTGGGAAGAAGCCAAATTAGTAACTGCCAATGTAAATAAAAACAAAAAAAATATGAGCCCTGCTTAATGCAGTCCTGTTTAATTGGGTTTAGTGAGGGTTTTTATCTACTATAGAAGTAAACAAGTGTATAAATTCTGTAAAAACACAAACAGAAAGTTCTAGCTTGGTACTTGGTTTCAGCTTTATTTCTGTACTCTATTAATCCTCCAACCCATCTGTGAGACGACACAGTGATTAACAACAGAAACACAGGAGCAGTGGGCTGAACTTTTTACTAATGTGCCAAAACAGTGGGCAAACCAAATTCCTGCCAGGGCTGGGATTTAACCAGCAATCCTCTGATGGAAAGCCTGAGCCTTTAACCCAGTCCCAGTCGTTCCAAACTTTTTTTTTCATCTTTACTCGGCAGAATAGAATAAAAAATAAGAAATGCTCCATCGATGTTTCATTTATAGGAAACATAGTTCAATTTAATGGCAGTGCAGCAACTGTAAATTGTCTTTGAATCTAAGGCACCAGCTGACACGTATGGCTTTCTACGTTTCTCATGAACTAACACATAAATAGAAATCATTGTTTTTACTAGAATATAATATATTTCTAAAAAAAGAGAGAGAAAGATAGAAAAGAAAAAAAAGCAGAAAGTGCCATCCTTAAAGTAGAGCTTTCATGCAGTTTAGACAACTTTGAACCTTGTACACCCTAATGATAACCTCATTATGTAATTAAGATGAACAACTCACACCTGCTTCAAAATCAGCACTCTTTCTTTTCGCTGACACAGCAGTCAGTCCATGCCTCTTATAAGATTTATTATAAATATTTATTTTTATTACATTCTAGCCTAAAAACCTTTCTTTATTTCTGATACACTTCTATGTCTCATATCTACTATAACAGTCGAACAACAGCATTCAACTCAATTCAAAATATTCAGCCAAGAACTGTTGACTTTGTGCAGTGACTATTGAATTGGTCAATAGAGGGTGCCATAAGCTTTTCTAATGTTGTAGTTGGGGCTTTTTGCTTTCAGGGTAGATGAGTTAAAACAGTCATTATATTAAAAATATGTTCCTGAAAAAATCACAACAGAAAAAAGGGAAGGAATTAATATTATTAACTGTTAATACAGGAGGTGAGGTGCGGTGACTTCTTGGCTCAATAGGAGGTTTATATTAACCTGACGACAACGATGTCATGTTGTTTTCTAGTACAGAGGACACCCCTGTGTTTATCAGTACCCCTGAGAAGATTTTGAGGCCAGGAATATTGCAGAATATTGCATTTACCGGTCTAAATATTGTTAGAAATTTAAATATTTATTTTAATTGTTTGCACTACCTTTTATTGTTATTATACTTTAATAGATAACATTAACTATCAACATATAATATAATTAACATATTTATTACCATCACCTCCTGAGCCAAAGTCTGTCCTATGAACTCAGTTAGCGGTGTAATAAAACAGGCTAACTGCACAAAAAAGTCATGTAAAAGTCATAGGTTTTCACGCATGATGATCGTTCGAGTTCAGCTTTTTAAACTGAATTCACATTTTCTTTTATACATTTTTCTCGTTTGTACCTGAGGACTTGAAAGGTCCTGTAGTTCACAAGGTCATTTCTTGATGTTATGTTTCTGTGCAATGCCATAAGGCACGTGGGCAGCTATGGTGCCCATCTCTGCTGCATCCTCCACATGAAACATCTGGTCGTCAAAGTAGATGTGCGGCCTGATCTTCTCCAGCATCGGACCTTTTGGTGCCCCTGCTAGGAACAATGCCTCGTCGATCTCCAGCCCCCAGGCCCTCAGGGTCTTTAGCGCCCGGATCCCGGAACTGGCTGCACTGCGAGCCGTCACCAAGAAGGTCCTAATGGGACAGTCTAGACGATGGCCTTTAGTATAAAACTTTTTCTGTAGTTTCCCTAGTGCCTCCAAGAACCCCTTCAGGGGACCCTAGTGGAGAATAACAGTATTATTATTATTTATTATTAACTCATGACTCCACTAAATTAAGCATAACATACTTTTCACTCTATTATTAAACCCAGGCCTGGTCAGAGTTTAGATACAAAATACGAAAACAAACCCAAGTCCATTAGGGTTTTTACATACATGATCCAAAAGTGTGTCTTCATTTTCCCTCTCATGTTCAAAGAACTTGTCCAGCCCGTGGGCCTTGAAGATGCGCTCTGATTCATCAGAGAAAAGGACGGCGTCACCGTCAAATGCCACCCTGAGCTGAGACTCTGAGACCTCCGTCAGCTTCTCCGACATGAACATGGTGGCTGCAGCAATGCCTGAACATAAACCCAGACGTGTTTGTTAGTCAGGATCATCAAATACATCATAAAGTCTTCAGAGCAGTTTTTACAGTAGCTGCCAGGAAACAATAACAAAAAAAACATAATTTTATATATAATTAAAATGAACAGAAATGCCAAATCATTCTTTTTATAGCTATTTTTTATAGTCATTTTAGAGTGCAATATTAACATGTCTGACTGCGATACACAGACATCTCAGCGGTTTTTAACCTTGACATACAGTATTGTTCATTCGTCACTGCTTGAGCAAATGAAACGTTTCCATCTGACGGTGTTCCCTTTGGAGTGTGTCTGTTGTAGGAATTTATCAAGCAGACAGAATGGGAGGCAGAAGAAACGGATATGCTGATTTATGGTAATGTCAGGATGACACATGGCAAAGTGTCAATCAATGGTAATTATGGTAACAGGGGAGGAACTATATATAGTGTGTGTGTGTGTGTGTGTGTGTTTTGGTCCACACTTATTTGCATTTAAATTGAAAGCTACAGGGAGAACAGTACATCTCAGCACCTGAAGACATATACGTTCTGACGTCAGTTATGGCTCGCCACCTCCATGCACTGTAAAGGATTACGTGCAGTTTGTCACGATGAATGTACAACGTAGAATATAAGATGCAGTCTGCTGCGTCACAGCTGCTTCTGTGGCTAATGCTCTTTTTCACTACTGCAGCTTAAAACCAGACGAATGAAAGTTAACAAATTATAATAGAAAACAAACCTGCCAAAGCAGACACAATGCAGCAAATTAAATTATTAATGTATTATAATGGACAAGTTATGTTACAGTATGCTTGAATGGCCATGTACATTCTAATATATTTAAAATTAAAATTTCAATACGTTTACATTTGGCCTATAAAACAAAAGGTAATGCCACTCTGAGCTCAGTCGAACAGCTTTATGTTTACCTCAACACTAAGAAATGCAAAGCACAATAACATATAATAATAACAATAAAATGTTTCTGGGTGTAAATTCTAAAACTTTATGAATAATAACTGCTTTTAGTCACAAACACAGTTCATGACCAGAGGTGTATATCTGTAGTTCACTCTCTTTTATTTATGGAGTTTCTCTCCAACATACTCCACCACCTAATTAACTAATTGTCCCCACCTGTGTCTCGTTAACTCCTCCCTTTCTGTTTCTCTGTGTGTCTGTGTTTGTTATATCTGTAGAGGGGAATTATTTTAAAAGGCAATTGTGGGTTTTTTTGTTTTTGTTTTTTTCTGGGAACAACATTTTATTTTTGTACGCTGTGTTTGTGTGTGACATGCATGTGCTCACCCTCAGCCAGTGCCTCTCTGACCTTGTCGGCGTCAGCAGACAGGTAGAGGTTGGTGTGCCAGGCCTTTAGGTAGCCAATGGGACTACTCCCTCCTGTCATACAAAACCTCTCAATAAATAAATCTGTTAAGAAAACAACAAAAAAAGGCTTTTGTCCAATGCTTGATACCAGTCATGTAAACACCAGATTATTACACATACATATTTGCATTGTGCATAATATTTTATACTAAAAACTCCAGTAAGAGATCCAAGAATGGCTCCTCAAACAGAGATGAACAAAACCCAAAATAAAACTCATGTAAAAAAATCCTAAACAGTTTTATTTGGAGCTTGTGTTTTGTTTTGTTTGGTTTGTTTTACCTTTACTTCAACTTATTTTTCAAATGTCCTGTACTTGTAACGAGGAGTTCAAGAGCGTGAGAGTCACCCAGTCCTCACCCCTTGTCCTTTTCATTTCCTCTTATGAAGTTGTTTTGATACGATGTGTATTTTTCTCTGATTTATTTGTCCTAAAGATCTGAAGCATAATAATAGAGGAAACTCAGCGGTGGTCATGAATAAATACCGGCGTTTTTTTTTTTTGTTTTTTCTTCATGCGTGGTATGAACATTTCTAACAAGCCAAGGTCATTGATTTATTCCGTTTCTGATGCTCACAGAGATGTGAGACGTCAGCACATATGAAATCTCAATTTACTCCACAGGCTGCACATTACGCGTCCTGTCAGTCATCTCAGACTTTCGTCACGTGGATCACATTTTCATGTCACCTATGGTTGTCATTAGCAGGATGTGCTAACTGCACAAAGTCACCCAGTTACAAGGAGACAAATAGCTGGAGGGTTATAGTAATAGTCCAAATGTCAAAGGGTGAAATTTTTTTTTAAATCAGGGTTTTAGTCCAATTTCATCAACAGAAAAATAAATAATGAAATATTACTGCCTTAATGAATTTCACAGGATCCTTGAGGTGTGGACAACAGTCACATGAGGCAACCAATCACATTCAATCTCCATCAGAAACCATCAGGTCATGTGAGAACCATTAGCACTAATTGGTCTCTCATAAAGCAATTATTATTATTATTATTATTATTATTATTATTATTATTATTATTATTATTATTATATTGAGAATCCTAATCACTACTGTATGTTTTTTTTCTCACACACAAATTCTAATAAACCAGGTCTTGGGATGCTGTTGTTTTCCTTTATTGCTGTGGTAGAAGTCAGAGGTCAGGGAACTGAACACATCAGGTCCCTCATGCAGAGAGCCACCACAGAGATCTAACACAGAAGCATCTGGAAGGCTGGGTGTTGTTTCCTTGACTCCATTCGGACCTGTTTTTGTTTCAAGCCACATGAATTATTCCTGCCTCTCACAGGACGTGACCTATAAACTCTCCCCAGTCTTGGGCTCCGGGGGGAACAGGAAGTGGTCAGTGAGTAAGATGTCAGCACAGCACAGAGTCTGAGATTTCCCTGGGAAGTATGATGTACCAGTCAGCTGTTCACACACAACGATGTTTGTCCACCAGCTGAGATTCTGCTACAGCTGTACCCCAGCTGATTTCTTAGATCACTTGGTTCCCTTTTTTTTGGCATTTGTAATTTGCACTTGCCATATAGAGGGCAGTTCTAGTTGTAATTTTTTTTCTGGCCTTCCATTAATGAAAAGAAAAGAAAACTGGCTGTTAGCCATTTCCTGCTCAGTGTCCAGACTGTGACGTCCTCGCCGTTTCCCACAGAGCTGTGGCGACTATAGTACATAACAATGTCACAGAGTTCATTGCACATTTATTGACTTTTTGTAAAACGAAAAAAAAAAAACAAAAAAACAATTCCATTCAGTGTTTGGTTGAATATGTCATAACAAAAGAGAAATCTGGAGGATATTTTCTTGTTATTTCACTTACTGTGATGATTAATAGTGTTGATGAGTCTCACTCCTACGTGTGCGTGGTTGTATGTCACTAGAACGATGTCGAACAGTTCTTCACTCTCTGGGTACAGCTCCCGCAGACGTGTGTTGACGGCCTCCAGGGCCTGTCGTAGAATCAAAACCAACAACCACAGTTAGTCACTCTGCTATTGCATGTGTGATGGGGTGAAACCTTTTGGTCGGTGCGACTTTTACTTTGACAAAGGGGAACGCAGGCCCAGGGGCGAAGGGTTCGTTCTCATGCTCGATCTGGTACCTCAGGTACTCTTCTACTCCTTTCTGCTCAAACACCTTCTGCTCGCGCTCGGTGCGGAACAACACGCGGGAGGAAACTGCAACGGTGACGGCGTTCTCGGGCTTGGGCTAAAAGGAGGACAAAACAGAGACGTAACAGAGCATGAAGACTGAAGAAAGACAGAAAGGGCAGAGCAGCAGCAGTCACGTGTCTTAGTACTGCAGGTGGGAGGAAGTGGCGTGAAGGACGGACGATAAAACTCACATCACAATACATGCAAGAATTCAGAGATACGTGCAGGAGAGACGACAGAGTGCAGTTGTTATCAAGATGTCTTTTATATGGGTGTCTTTATGACATCATACAGTGATATAATTCAGGAGTTTCCTCTGTTAGGCTCCAACAACTAATTGAATTTATGAAAAATGATTGATAAATTAACCAAATATTGAAACAAGACATACATATTAACTTGTAAATATCATCTGAAAATACACCTAGTAGATAACGCTGCACGAAGGAAAGTTTTTAAATATGTGTGCTTGTGAGGTTCATTCTGGGAATTTTATATTTAAATATATTTTTTTTTATTCTGTTTGGTTGTTAATGGTCATTATTTGGGCTCACCATGTGCTGTTATATACGTTTTGCTATTATATTATGACATAATACATAATACACATCCATATGTCTTCCTGTGAGTTGTTACTGTATGTGTTCACATGCATCGTGTGTGGCAGAGGTCAGAGGTCAGTTTTTTGAAAAACACAACAGTGTTTGTGTACATGTCTGTGTTAGTGTGTGCTGCTAAACAGGCCAGAGGCCCAGAGGCGGAGGGAGTGAAGGTCTCTCTGCTTGGCTCAGCTTTCTAACAACTGTGCTGCCTGCTGCCGTGTCACCTTGGCTTATCTCTCTCTCTATCTCTCTCTCTCTCCCTTTCTCTCTTCCAAAAAAAACACACACAAATCGCCTAAAGACACACACACGGCCTTGTCTGGGTTTTTTTTTTACTACATCCTCGTTGTTGTAGAAGATGCGGTTCAATGCTTCTTCTTGTTGTTGTCTGCAATAATTTATACATAGACACACACACATTTGCTTATATAAAGTACTGTATACTAGGGCAAGGAGAAAAAAATAGCTTTGTTGACGTGAGGCACATGTTGACATCCTCTGGAAGGAGTCGAAAATTTGAAAGTGTTTTGATTGGCTTACGTTGTTTTTATTAGCGTAAGCTCTCTCTCCATTAACAAATGCTTCGAAAGTAATAAATGGAGAGTTACATGCAGATTCTAACAATACACAAGAAAAATATATGTTTTAATTGAGATACTGTAAATGGGGATTTCTCGATTAATCGTGATTAACTGTAACTAATCCACAGCTACCCTGTGATTAATCAAATTAAGGTTTTATGTATATAACTATATATACATAAAACCTTAATTTGAAACTTTTCAGACAATGAAGCATCAGGTCGGGCTGCTGGTTAGTAACATGGGTGTGTGTGCGGGCACAACAAAAGGTCAACAAGGTCACCAATGCAGCCATGATCAACAACCTGTTGGTAACCTGATGAAACAAGATGATGGGTCATACTCACAAAGAAGACGCCTCCTTCCACCTTCCGGGCTCGTCTTCCTGTCACCTTAGCAGAATAACAGTTCATTTTATTAATTTTAGTACTGACATATTTGGGTTTTCTTGACAAGATCATGTGAGGTCTAATGTCCTAGTGCTGCCCTGAACGGTTCTAGATCAACACTGCACGCGAACACATGCACAGTTTCAAATTTAAATGTATTTGCTGCAGCCTTTCTATCAAAGCCACTTAAATACCATTTCACACAGTCATGGCAGGCGATCCAAGAGCAAGAGCTGGGGTCTGTGCTGTAATTTAATACCCACGGCGTTAACAGCCCGTTCACTTTCTAGTGGGCCTCCCACCCACTGGGAAGGCGTCAGTCACAATGTTCCTCTTCACAGGAACTTCCAGTAACAGTAATCACCGTATACTTTTTAATCAGTATGGAGCCAAAGGTAACAATATACAGTCTCACACACACACACACACACACGTGCTGTATTTTAATCCCTGTAAGAACTGTGCCATATCAGCAGCATGAGTGTCTGAGCAGAACTCAAATCCATGAGTCATGAGTCTCCTACATCTGAGACGGGGGGACTGCTCTTTTAACGCACCTGAGTCTGAAAACGCAAGAAATGCAGGGACAGAGGAAGAACAGAGGTTAAAGAGGTAGAAGTGAGGACGCAAGAGAGGGACGGTGTGTGTCTACTGTAGAGGGGGGGTTGTGGGGAGGGGAGGAGGTGTCGTATTTATAGACAAGTAAAGGCCAGTGATGATAGGGCAGATACACTAACACAGGGACGTGCTCATAAACACCAACAGCAAATGTATAATGTTAAACCTAAGGTACAAGGGGGTGAGGAACAAGGATTTGAACCTGCAATTCTCCAGTGTACTCACAAGTACTCCAGATCACAGGCCTCCACCATTGGCCTTTCCTGCTCTTGGGTAGTAATGTATTATTAATAAGGCTGTCAACATGATTTAAGGCTTGAATGAATTCATTTCTGAAGATTGATTAGAACCGATGTTCGACTTATGGGCAGAATGACACATGCTGAATATTCAATAACAAGTCCCTTATCATTGGTCTAATACACATTTGACGCACGTGTTGTTATTCGCACATAGTGCAGGACATTATTTTTGTGTCATGGAGCTGCTCGAACATTTATACCATGCGGCTTCTAGTATGCGTAAGTGGAGGGTTCAACTTCAATTAGTTTTCCCCATGCATTTATATTTTGAGTGTTATTTATGTCACTTTATCTCAATCGTATACATAATATATATATGTGATATCATTAAACCTATATTGTTGCATTAGGCATGTGTTGCATCCATGATGGAGATCACATACTCATAGGCCTTAGTCTTGCAATTAAAATACATTGAAATCTTTAGGCCACACCTTCAGAATTTGTGTAGTTTAGTGAATGAAGGTTTGCAACAACATCTCGTGGCTTAAAGCATTTGTTATTTTGTGAAAATGACCTGAAGTGTTAGAGGAGATAATATCAATACTGTTATGTATTGGCGAACAGGTTCCATTTCCATCTCAGCATTGTCACGGTGTAGGGCTGCTGTAATTACTGAACAGCCAGCTAATGTCTCCACAAATAGATTTAATGTGCATGGATTATAGGTAATAATCTTTCTTTCTTCTAATCTCTTTTCCCTCAGCCTTAACCAAAAATAAAAATTGACCTTACATCACTGAAAATGTGTGTACATTAGTGATACTGTTAGCCTGAATAATAATATAATAAATTAAACAACAATTTTATAAAAATACAGTAAATAATAATATGTTTTGCATGTGGCTGTGACAGCGAGTGATGACCATAATATATATGAAAAATCTTGTATCTTGTTTTAATACTTTTTCAAAGGTACTCACTAATCTCTCAGGGTCATGACCTACAGTGTACTACACGCTAAAGAAGCTTTTGATGAGTCATGCCATTTTAAATACTATCTCAGCTTTCCAAGACAGTGCAGTAAAAGGCCGTGGTTATTGCTCTGTATATGCGCTGGCCAACAGATCATAATGTAGCTATATTTACAGTTTATTAAGTTAATTTATTTTTATTTTTAAACATCGAGTTTCAACTGCTCAGATTCACCTTTAATTCCCTCTCTTGGATTCATTTCTCTGTCTTTTGTTTAATAAAAGTTCAGCCTTTTGCATTTTCACTGACTCACAGCTTCATCAGTCGGTTCCAGCCACTACCTGTTAAAAGCAGAGTGCCCTGCAGAGTATGTTGATGTCTTACAACACTATAAACAGAAGTGAATCCCTGCCAAGCACTCTCCCCTGCATCTCTCTCTCTCTCTGTCCTGGAACAGCCACTTCAGAAACATGTTGACCTTCCATGCGCTCTTTTTACCGGCAAAAGTGTTTTTAGGAGGTAATTCGCTGTTTCTTAATTGCACAACACTGCTGTGATGGTCAGTTATCCCTCTAAGACATGATGTTTTTTTTTAAACATTAGTTAAAGTGAAGTTTCTTTAATTGTTATTTATTATTTGACAGAGTTACAGAATATTTTTCTGTTTAAGTTTCACATGAATTAATTTTCTTTTTGCTTCTTTTTTTTCAGCATTAAATTCCCCAAGAAATTCTTTCTGGAAAAAGACTCATTATTTATTTATTTATATATTAATAAATATTTTGTACAGTATTAAACCAAAGCAATCATTCATCCCTTGGTGTAGTAATATTTTTTAATATTTATTTGCGATGTCAAACTTATCTAAAGTTTCCTGTATGGTCTGAAGTGGATGTCACTGAAGGTCCCACACTTGTAAACACCTGCACTCAGACTGACTGACACCCTCAGCTCCAGCTCAGTGTCTACGTTCCAAGCTGCACGTGGGCATGGTAAACAAAGAGACAGAAGAGGGATCGGCTGGGGGGGAGCAGATGTGAGACAATGTCGTTGGAAGAAACTGGAGAGACTCACTGCTTTTGGTTTGGTGGTGAGGCCCAGGTTATCTTGATTAAAGTCTTCCTTCTCTTCCCACGATTCTCTGCTTTCCCCATTGGACGACGCAGAAACTTTAAGCTCGCTGACTTGCCCGCTCATTACCTGTACAGGGTCCAGGCTCATCTTCACCATAGAGTATGTGTGAACTCGTGCTCCCAGAGACTGCTGCGTCCCAGGTGAAGACAAGCTGCTCTCTCAGTAAAAAAAAAGCAATAAAGTAATGCTGCCAGATGAACAAAGTGTCCCTCAACAGTCAGCAGCATTTATAGCCATATCTCCATGCATTTTCAGGCATGCTGCAGTCTTCTGTTGTTCTGGAGCAGCATCTGCTGGGAAAAACAGCAGGGGTGTTTAGAGCAGAAGTCCTCTGTGCCTGTCCTACTTCTCAATAGGATTACTGTCCACTGCATCCAGTTCCTCATCCAACACCATTATCCCCTATGCACCAACTCCGCTGCCATCAATGCACACGCACTGTCATTTAAACAGGCTGCCCTTCATGAGAGTGTTGCCAGGTTTGCAGCAGTCCATCTGCTGCTATCTCTCTCTCTCTCTCACTGCCCCTTCCCTCCCTCACTTGCCTCACTTGCCTCACGTCTGCCTCTTACCCTTCCTCTTTGTCCCATTCAATCGTTCTCTCGGCTCCATCCCCCTGACCAATCGCAGCCTTGCTACCTTATTCAGCGAGGGCCCTGCCCCCAACCCCGCAGTCCCCGGCTGAAGGGTTACAATTTACCCAGGAGGCTCATGGGACATTCAGGCACACATTAAATTACAGCAACAGATAGCTATAAAGAGGAACAGCGTCATCTAGCAGCAAGAGAGCAGGTCAGGTTTGATTATGGTTATTGGTAGTATTATTTATGGTAAAATAGTATTATTAAATATTATTAATAATAATATAATTCAGCTTAATATTATTGATACTATTATCATTATCACTGTTGTTATTATTATTATTATTATAAGCTGTTAAAATGTACTATTTTTATTATTTTTAATAAACCTGATACATTTTTTAAGCATTTTAAAACATCTATTTTTGGGTTTTGGAACCACAGCCACCTAATATCTGCAGATGCTCCACAACACCGGAGGCAGTTGTTAACCTGGGCTGCAACCCATCTGGTGTGAAAGTCATTGTTCTGAGCTACATGCTTACATGGCCCTTTTCATCTACTCCTCTTCAATCAGTCCAGACCTAACACCATCACTGAGGCTCCGAAACATATTAATCATAAGGGTGTTTTTTGGACTTATATTCTTGTATCCCTGCTGGAAGCACAGTTTTCCCGGCTCTAGCTGCTGCACATCATCACTCCTTGCAACCAAATCTCAGAAGCTGAACTACTGACAGTAGTTGTAGATACTACAGTCTGTTGTTTTTAGCTGACACAGACACTTTTAATAACTACTTATTCAAAGCTCACGTCCCTCTGCCACACTTTATCTCAGTGCATGTGCGCTGAGATAAAGCTGCTATTCTTGTGCCCTGCAAGGGCCATGAATAAAATAACAGAAATAACTCAACTACCAGTAGGGTTTACATCACAAGCAGAAACTGAATCAATAATACTCTATATTATTAATCTGGTTAAACCATGTTAAAATATTTACGTTAAAATATCCTTTTAATTCATTTGAATAATATGATGGCACATCCTGGGTACAATCTTCAAATGTTCACATATACACCTTAATTAAGTGACAGACATAAAAATGTGAACGTGTGCCTTTAAAAAAATAGCAAGCACAGCTCCTTGTTCTTTTTTGAAACAACAGCCTCATCATCTGGCTTCTCTGCGAACTGCATCTCTCCACTGTGACCTCGAACCGCTGTGTGACTCACTGATTACCCGCTGCTCAAGCAGTGTGTATCTGGATTTGTTGTGTTGGGTTTTCCACCGAGTGGAGACCCAATATGTCCGAGCTAATAATAGATTTCTATAGATTAGTGATGTCTGGCTGCAGAGAGGCTCTCTCTGAGTTACAGTTAAAAAGAGTGCCGGAATGAACAGAATATCTTTAATATATTTGAACTATTATATACAACTAATCACACTTGACAGGATGTGTCAAGAAGTTACCTGAAAATGTATATAAAAGGTGCCAATAATTTGTTTGATTTTTCTTCTTCTTTTTTTTGTCCAGAGCTACCATTCCTCTGAGAGCCATACACCTCCATTAACATTACGATTTAGAAAACATAAAGGACAAATTTGAACTTTCACGTTCACATTTTTGATTAATCATAAAAGTCTTTTATGAAGAGAGAAAGAGGGGGAGAAAAAGAGGGAGAGAGCAACAGCAAGGTCTTTATTTACATCTTTATGTCCTGACGTATTTTGCGATGAGTCATTGAGTCAAGGCCTAATTTTTGAGTCATTTTATAGAATTGAGTTCTTTCTCTGCTGCTGCTCAGCTCAGTCGGTGTGTGTCCAGATATGTGGGAGTATTCTTAAATTTTTTTAATCAAATTTGCAAACTTTTGCAAAACGTTTGACCCCCGTGTGTTTGTGTGTGTGTGTGTTAGTGTGTGTGTTATCAGGTTCTCGCTGTTTCTCCGCATGTACGTGTGTTTTTGTGTTCACTGCCATGTGGCCTCCGAATGGTTACCATGAGAACAACGTTAGAGGTGACATCACTGCAGTGGTGTGACATCACTGTCAGACGGTGACTCATGCTGCCTTGATGGCTGCGTGTCAGTGAAGGTGTGAAGACGCTGCAGAAAGAACTGTGGACGAAGCCCGGACGTTCAACATGTGTTTAATTCTATGTAACAAAAATAGTTACATCATCTTTGTTCCACGAGCCTACACTTACCATCATGAAAACAAACGAAAGGAAACAAATATACATTACACCAATGTTATACAGTAGCAAAAGCCAGGATGACGTCCTACTGCACCACTGAGCACAAACAGAACAATATCTACGCTCGAATATAACGCCGCACAACTCGGTGGTGAGAACTGAAAGAGTCTTACGTTCTGACACAGCCGCAGTAATGATACATTTCAAGTCCAACATAATCCCATCTTTGGCACTTTAAAATCTGCAAGACACACGTTTGGATCAGTCACTGTGGTTTGAAATCTGAATGTCGTTTATTTACAAGTCATCTTCCTGGTAGTCCTGACTGTACCTCCTCAATTCTGGGTGAAAAAGTGACATTATTGGCAGTTCAAAACATAAGCAAATAGATAAAGGTATTTTATTTTGAAAAAAAAAAAAAACCCAAATGTGTTTAAAAGTTATGTTTATTCTAAGATTTAGGTTCTTCTTCTTAATTAATTATTATGGGGGCAGCACAAAAGTTCAAAATGTCGGGTAAACATGGGGCAATGTTGCTCCCTCAACCCTGTGTTTTCCTCATTATATTGACAAGTAAATGAACCATTTACATGTTTACCATTTAGAATGTAATTGTTTTAGAGGAAGTGCAGTGTTGGTTATTGAGCTTCCATAGGTCTGTTTTCTTATTCATTTTGTTTCCTCGTTTGTTAAAAAAAAGATCATTTTAGCATGTGTCACAGATTTTACTTACATTTAATTTATTCAAACAATGTAAAAAGAAGCAGATCTGCACGAGAAAAGCGAGACGTTCCCTTCAAAAATAAATAGCTTTACAAGAACAGAGTTTAATTCACTTGTGTTCATCGATGTTCAAACAAGTCACTTAGGTAACAAACAGCCCACACACGCACACACACACACACACACACACTCAGTATAGTTGGTAACGTTATGAGATCAGGTCTAAGCTAGTTTTACAATAACATTTACAGTTTTGTTTTATATTCATAAATACGATTACAGTGCTATTGTAATATACATGTTGTTTTATTTGTACATAATCACACCGAGGAGGCTCGCTCTGCGAGTGAGAGAGGAGGAGGAGAGAAGTCAGAACGGAAGCAGGAGAGAAGTGGGATTTTTCTTTAAACTGTTTCAAAGAGAATACTGATGAAAACAACGTGCACCGGTCATAAGACGGAGGTTGAACGGCTTGAAGGGAGGGGAGAGGCTGGGTTAGGTTAGCGCATCTGCGCTAATGGCGTGTTGGATATTCTGAATGTAAACAAATGAAAGTACTTTATTCTGTTAGGAAAAACAAAGACGGTGCTTTGTTGTCCATTTTCCATTCAACTCCATTAGCATAATAATGGCTTAAAGGAGAAATTAAACCACATTAACTCCCATTACAGATCTGAACCTGAGTTTGTGGTATTATTTTCATTTAATTTTAAATATCATCAATCATTTTAAGAATCCATTTTAAGAACCGAGAGGTTTCGGTAATTATCTAGCTCTTTAAATTCACTGATGGAATAAGCTTCTTTCATCTTCTTTAACACACACACACACACGCACGCGCGAGCTCGCTCGGACCAAGCTTTCTTTTCAACCGTTTGCTCTTTTTCACATTGATTTTAGATCTGAGCTGAGTTCAGCAAAGTTCCTCTACCTCCACCTATTATCAAAGCATTTCCTCTCTGACATTTAGGGAGGAGGAAGACAAAGGGTGGGGGAAGAAGGTCTGCTGGAGAGGACGAGGAGAGCCGGTCATTTCGGCTTTTCATGGAGGCAGATCTGGCCTTTGTGCGGAGTATGTGGCCTGTAATTACTGTCCTGAGATCAGGCCCAGATCACAATGTTGTAGTATGGTGTGCCTCTAATTGCTGCTCACGCAGATACAAGACCATGGAGCATCTGCATTTGTAATCTATTTCTGCTTCTTCTTGAACACACAAACACCAGACTTGCATTCTGGACTACATTAAAAACACACGACCGTGTCCAAGTTTTAACACCCCATGACAGGGAAATGTCTTTGAAATTAACTTCAGATGGAGTTGTGCCAGTTTTAATATAATCTATAAGTGTATCTATATTCGCAACTAGTCTCCCCCTAGAGGCTCACTGCTTTACTATCCTTAAAATATACCATTTTTATAAAGAAGCACTACCTTCTTCCAGCAAAGTTATGGTTCAGCCTGATAATCTGAGATCACGACCAAGCAGTGCCGGTAATAACTGGGACGCAGAGATGTGCTCGTCCTGCTGTGAGCGACAATGCTAACCACCTCAGCACTGCCACAGCCCCTCTAAATGGAACACATGTAATTACATGAGTTATCGATCCTGTTAGTATGCATGGATTGGATGCAGCCAGAAGTCACTGACCAGCACATCAGTATGCCTCACCCGACAGCTGGGTGGAGCCATCGGAGACATTAATCAGCAGCACTGCCTCACACTCAGGGTGTAGCATCTGGACAGCTGGCTGTAATCTGTCACACACCTATGATTGGCTGTGAATTTTCTTGCCGAGGAACTGTATGACCTCAACAGTCGACAATCAGAGGTGGTCTTTTTGATATATATATTACATTTAAGGGAGCAAACGCTCAATTTCTGGTGTTGTTTCTTGTTCTACTGTTGCCCCGTCGTCTCATTGAAGGGCCAAAAACTAACAGCTGGGGGTCCAATTACATTATACTGAAATTTAGATGCGGGCCACATGTGGGTAGTCCGAGGGTTGAAAGTGGCTCTCGAGCCAGGAGTTTTTTCAGACTGTGAAAATGAAAAGCTTTTAAACGAAGCGTGAAAAGTTGACAAAAAAAAACTAACTGAAATGGATGTAAAATATGAATTTAAATTACTTAACAGCAGACTTAATGCAAGAAGAATGAGAGTTGAGGGAGTGCTAACACATCGTAGCGTACTGTTCCGTAGATTACAATACTCACCTAACGGTGTTGGAGTGAGAGTGACACCTTGGCAGAGTGTATTTCTCCTGTGAGGTGTTCTACTATTATTCAGTGCGTTCATAAAGATGCTGCGGTGTCTGTTTTTTTTTTTTTTTTTCACATCTTAACACGCGTAACAGAAGTGCTGCAGTGAGTTACATAAAGGGGTTGTCAAGACAATTTAAGTTTTACATTGTTTCAAACACGGTTCCATTTGAGTTTATAAAGGATTTAAAAAATATTTCTCTACCTGTGACCTCCTCCTCCTTCTCCCTCATCTGCTCCCCCATCTTCTCTCTGCATGTCTTTTCTCATCATTTTTTTTCCCTTCCTTTCAGCTTCAGTTCAACACCTCCCCGATTGTCTCCCCCCCTCTGCTATATCTCAACATCTCCCTCCCGCCGTGTCTCCGCCCCCTCCTTTTCTACTTCTGCACATCACACTGCAGCAGTAAGACGATGGACGGGTCAGATTTGGCCGCCTCTTTGAACTCCTCCAGAGTGATCTCGTCGTTGTGATCCTTGTCCATCTTGGAGAAGATTTTGTCCACGCGCTGCTGAGGGGTCAACCCGTCCTCGTTCATGCGCATCATGATCACCGTGCCCACCATCTTGTAGATGGCCTGGTGAGAAAGAAATAGGAAATGCGTGCGTTTGCAGCTCATTTTATTAATCTGTTTCGACAATCAGGGGATGGTATCCAGAATCCTGGTGCCAGAAACTCACAGTGGTTTGTACAGATAAATAAATAAGTATAACCAGGCCTTTAATAGTATTTCAATTTGGGGGGAGGGTGATACTTAATTTCTAAACCACCACTGGCCCGCTATACAGGTATCGGTTGATATCAGAATCATGTTTGGACAAAAAGTTAATATCAGACATCACTACTTATATATATTACATATTTAATATATCATATAGTTTTATCTGAATATATATTTAATTAGACAAAAACACACCTCTATGATCTCCAGCATCTCCATGCGTGTGATCTTTCCATCCCCGTCGAGGTCGTACATGTTGAAGGCCCAGTTGAGTTTCTGCTCAAAGCTGCCTCTGGATGTGATGGACAGGGCACAAATGAACTCCCTGAAGTCAATGGTCCCATCACCGTTCTTGTCAAACGTCCGAAAAGCGTGCTGGGCAAACTTGGAGGCGTCGCCATATGGGAAAAACTAATGTGTGAGAAATGACAAAAAACAAAAAGCTGAAGTAAATACAATAGTTATACACGGTGAGAGACGGTAGAACTTGAAACAAGACTCACGTTGTACGTGATTTTGATAGTAATTCAAATGGTCTTAATGACAGTGAAATGTATGACTACCTTAACGTAGAGCTGCTGGAACTCCTCCAGGTTGAGGATGCCAGAGGGACAGTCTTTGAGGAAGCCTTTGTACCACTGCTTGAGTTCTGCTTCGTTGAACTCCGTGTTCTTGGTCAGGTCATCCAGGACTTCTGGAGCCAGCTTGCTGTTGTGTTTTCCCATGATGAATTCACTCTCCTTGGGGATGCGAGGGGTGTAGAGCACAGAGAGAGAGAGAGAGAGAGAGATGAAAGTGTGAGACAAAACATCAGCAACAGTTGTTCCTCGGTGTTGTTGTTGCTGTTGTTGTAACAGCGTGTGTCAACACAGCGGAAAGGTTCGTTATTATAAGATTTCTTAAGGTTCTTCCTTTCATGCGACCATGTGTGCCTCGGAAGCATGCAGCCTGGCTTTGTATCGCATACATACACAAATGACTGAAAAACACTGCAGTGACTCCTTGACACCAAGGCTGACTCATCGCCCCGTTGGACAGTTTTCACACCTAACACGAGGCTCCGGCTGATACAGCAGAGCGAAGCATCTGTTAAGTCTTTCCCAAATCTTGTGTTTTATAACGTCAAAGTCAATTAAAGGTGATTAATGTTTAGCTTACGTAACTTACAAGTCTTGACACTCTTTAGAGAAAATAATATTCTAGAAAAGGTGGAGCCAATCAGAGGAAGTCTCTGTGATGGCTATGACCTTTGAACAGTATTTGTGTTTACAGCGGAACCTTGGTTGTCAAACACTTCCTTATTCTAACAATTCGGCTCACGAACAAAATGTTTTAACCAAAAATTGCCCCGGTCGTCATATCATAACTCGGTTGCCGAACAAGAGACGATATCACGCAAGCAGCAAGTGATCATTGAGAGACTAAGTGTGCAGCGTCATTTTTTAAATATCCAATAACCTAGTCAGCTGTTATTGTAACCTCTGGGCTCAGACGTTAGACTAAAATAATATGCTATTTGTTATAGCATATCTTTTCTAAAAGTACTGAAAATGGTGCACACAAATCTATAATTGACTTGACACCCGTTGGCTGAAGTAAAGTGACAAGCACGGATCCTTGAAAAGACAGATGAACACGCACAGCTTCGCAAGGTTAACTGGCGCTAGACGGTTGTGTACAGATGCTGACAGTGTAGAAAATGACCACATCAGTACTCCAAGCTGAGCTATTTTTACCCCATTAGAGGCTTTGAAGGCACCGTAAGTAAACAGATGAAAGCTCTGCTATTTCTTCCCAAATGTGTTTAACTAAGCCTCGAGCCGAAGACACTTGGGCCCTGTAGGTTAAACTGACCTAACCCAACACTGAGTCATGTCATTCGCCCCACACAGTGGCGAATCAAACTTCATCCGACTATTAGGGGAATCAAATGTAGCAGATAATAGTGTTTCCTGTAGCAAACTGCAAACAAAACCAAGGAAAGCCCATCCCAAAGACGTCCATTCAGGTGGAAACAGAAAAAAAAAGAATCCAGGTACAACGGCCTTCCAGTCAGATGCTCACATCACTGCCAGCTCATCTAACTATAGGGGCAGAAATCTATTGTGAGAGTGTATTCAGGTGTCGCTATCGGTCAGTTGTTATCTGCAGATAACCCCCGGCTGGGGTCTTTTATCTGGGATTATGCTGCCTTTCAGAGAAAATAAATCAAAATCTCTGGGAAAGCAAAGAAGAAGACTCATTCAGGAATACAAATGAACTGGATTTCAGTCCATTTTCCAATTATAGCTGCCTTAGAGGGGGTGAGGCTTCTTGGGGCAAATGCACACAGACATGCTTGGCGGACACGCATGTGTGTTGCATTCAGAATTAAAGTAGACACATGAGGGATGTGAATCACTAGCAGCTTATCACAGTTTATCCCTTAGTACTATGCTAAATGTAAAACAAATATATATATATATATATATATATATATATATATACTATATACTATACTAATCTAGTGCAACCATAAAGTATTTTATATATTTTTTTATTTTTATTTTTTTTTAGGCTATTGGAGATACACTTGCAATTACTGTACTTCATTATATTCATTATATTACTTTTTGTCAGACACCGGAGACTGAACCTTGGGCTAGCCTTTAACTGATTTATGTCAGTTAGAATATTGACATCATCGGCCTCTTGTATCCTACTAAATCCTCTGGGGAATCCCTTTAGCCTGTGTCATTACCCTACACCACGCAAGGCCAGGCACTGCTTAAAAAGCAGAACAGCTTTACTGCACACCTGCTGCAGAACTGTACAACCACGCACCACCATTCCTGACCCCGGGGGCTGAATGTCCCACAATAACATCTTTAACATTTGCTCAAACAGTAATTGTATTTAAAAAAGAAAAGACAATGTAAGTGACATGAAAATTATTACGTGGGAAAGACACACACAAAAAGATGAAACGGCTGGATATTGAGAAAAGATATCAAAGGCAGGATGACTCAGTCTGGAACTAATAATCACAGGAGGTTCGTGTGAAACAGAGTAAAGAGAATGAAGATGAAGACGGAAAAAAAAATGACACAATATTCTTTGAATATTACAAACGGAGAAAGTTCTTTCTATGGAGGGTGAACACAGATGTGAACGCAGGACTCAAATAGAAGGTTTTCTCAAATCTGACGAATGCAAAAATAGAACTTTTGCAGTTCTAAATTCTAAGGAAAATTATTTTTGACAGGATTTGCTTGTTAAACTGCACGTGGATTTGGTTTATGACTGAAAACAAACCATAAGTGAGATCAATCAAACCGATACAGACTTAATATTAAATGGGCCCTGGGCCAATTTGTTCTTCAACAATTAGGCCCCAAGGTCAAAAGGTTAAAATCCCAGATTTAACAACATGTCAAGGTTAAATTCAATTTAACTCGGGGAAAAAAAATATGTTTTCTTTAGGCATATGGAGGATGAACATAAACAAAGAAAAAAAACAGGATGAGCAGCAGTGGTCTCACTCAGTCATCAGGTAGCCCTGCCCTGACTGACGGTAGCCCAGAGTGTAATTGTATTGGTGTCTGAGTGAGTGAAAATGATTACCTGGCAAAAGCTGTAATTGAGTTGGAAAGAGAGTGAATGTGGAAAGCTGCTGCGTCTACCATCCGGGATCTGCTGCTTGTGTGTGTGTGTCTGTGTGATATATAAACTGAAAGACTTTTTTGGGACTAGTAGTCCCTGTGGGGACCAAAGTTTCGGTCTCAAGGAAGAGAATATTCACTGGTTTGATTAGAATAAAATGCACATTGTGGTTCATTTGAGTGTCAATCAGTTAATCTGTTCTATGTGTGTGTGTGTGTCTGTGTGTGTGTGTCTGTGTGCGCGGGAGGATGGAAAAATCTGCGGAGGAGCTGACAGCTGGCTTATTGATATGCGAATGATAAACCACACTCAGATAGGTCTTTACAAAAAAACCACCAAACCATGAAAAGTGAAATGAACAATATGTTGGTTGTCTTGACAACAGTTGCCTGGCTCACAGCCAAACAGCCGTCCAGCAGAGGATGATGCTTCTGGCCAAATCAAAACAGTCTCGCTGCCAACTGACCGCTGCTTGCATGTGTGTGCATGAGTGTGTGTCTGTATGATTGCTGTGTTATAACAAATCACGCCGTCTTCGCTGGGTGACACATCATGTTGGTCATCATGATGTTATGCAGCTAAAACATCAAGCTATGGTATGAGGGCTAACGTAAGAGACGGAGAGAGAGGGAGAGAGAGAGAGAGACCTTCTGCAGTGGCTGAGTTTTGGTATAATTCAGTCTGTTACTGCATTGGTGTCTATGTCTGTGTGTGTATGTGTGTGTGATGGCCCCAGGTCTGGTGCGTGGATTGTTTGTACGTTTGCCCTTGTGTTTGCAAAGCTTTTTATATTTACTTTGTACAGAATTAGGTCTAGCACTGTCCTACTAAAAACTATTTTGTTCCTAAAAAAAACAGACGATGCCCCATTGGCTTCACTGTTCCAGGAAATAGTCCAGAAGAGTATTTTTAATGCAGCTATTGACTGTTTTCCTACATTTATATGACCATGTCCGACCTGGTACTACAGTATAACATGGTGGCATAACTTAAATCAGGGATCACTGACTATATTTGTCAGTGGGACAGATTTCTTTCTGGACGGACACCCTGGGGGCTGGACACTCAAAAACATGAAATAAATATTCTATATAAATATATATTTTTTGTTTAAATAAATAGTGGGGATTACTAGTAGTTATTTAAGTCTCAGTACAGGTGGTTGTTTTTTTTTTTTGTTGTTATTTTTTTCAGTTGTTTTAACGGTAGGAAAGTGACAACAATGCCTTGCTTGCAAAAAAAATTAAAAAATCTTTGGTCTTGAACTGCAAATCTGTTTTTAGTAAACTCACAATTGATATAGTTTGTATTTTGCTAACTTATTTCAGTATCTTTATCAAACAAAGTCAAATATGTTTTTGTGCTTGTTTACTGACTTTGTTGGAACTCCCAGGCAGGTTGGGTTAAAGCAGAGGTGTGGCCTCCTATCAGTGCAATCTCCATATTGTTTTAATCTGCATACATCTCTCCTGCGACTGCAGAGAGGATGCATCACTATAGAAACGCAGCTCACCTCAGCGCAGCTCTAACTCTAATTTAAGACCAGGCAACATGTCGAGCCTGGGGAGAAACACAGGGGACAAACGGGCTGTGTGCGTGCCTGTGCCCTTCTGAGTGTGTGTTTCTGCTAACCTTTACCTGTCAAATCCAAAACATCCAGTTACTCACTCTAGTGTATTATTTACTACCACAGGTGACCAGTCTATAATCAGGTCCGTCCGCCTGCTGTCTGAGTGATGCACTTACAAGAGTTGTTGCAGAAACAATTATTGTTAATATATTATTACCCAAGGGAGAGGCTAATAATAATAATCCAGCAACACCTAGAACCTCAGACAGACAGGTTGAAATACACAAAAGCCCGCGGAGGAGTATTTTAGTGTTACCATCAAATACAAACAGATTTAGGACCAGATCAAATTTCTATGTTCATAAGTATTAGTGACAGGACTATTTTCACTGTATATTGAGAATTTTCATTAGTGCCTGTGTCAAGTTCAGAGTCAGTAAAAAGAAACTAGAAAAAAATAAAAATAAGTAAAAACTGCAGTAATGAACATATAAATGAAAGATAAATGAAATGTGTTACTCTGTTCTGCACTGGACCCGAGGCTGGGTCGATCTTAAAATATTACCTCACACACACCACACCAGCCAACAAGCGCTCACACCTTCACACCTCACCATTTACACTCGCATCCGCACATTTTCACCAATTGTATAGTTAAGGATCACCTGCACCTGACGTGTCAAGGAACCTCCTGACCCCACTGTTATCAAATAGTACATTCAAACAACCAAACCAGTTCATTTTGTCAGTATTTTTCAGATTTGTATTACTGCACCGAGGTCTAGTCTCCTGTTTGTTACAGTACATTTATGTCGCACCTGTCGTTCTACTGGAAAGCGCAGCTGCGGCGGTCCATTAGTTCCCCACCAATCATGCCATGATCCTGATCTCACCAATTTTTTTGTTGTTGTTGCTTCACCACTATCAGCCTGTGAGTCCCGTACACACACACACACATTGCTGTACTTCCAAATTGATATCCCAGGATATCCCAGGATATGGATGAGTCAATCAGTCAAAACAAAACAAACGCATCGACACTTACAGTGGAAACGTACACACGAACAATGGGACACGCGTACAGTACCGTGGGCCAATGATGCATGAGACACTAGCACAGTACTCTTGGTCACAGGCTAACGGCTAATTGTAGGTGACGCAAAGGCAAAGGCAGAAAAATGTCATTTGGTGACAGAGAGAGAGAGAGAGAGAGAGAGAGAGAAAGAAACAACCACATGATGTGTCAGACCGACAAAGACGTGGACAGGAAATTGTACTGTACTGTAATGCAATGTATGGCTCGGAGCTGTTGTATTTGACAGCGTGTGAATCGATGGGATTTTCCAAAGCAGTGAAGGTATATTGAAAAAAAAAAAACTGCAACTGCATATGGGCACACTCATTGATTATCCGAACTAAAGTGCTACACATCTTCAGTGTGCATCATTGTGGTTACATGTGACTATCAATATGTGGATACCAGAGACTGTGTTCACTGCAACTGCAATCTACATTCTGCTATATTTTCAAGGAATATAAGCCCATCCTGTTAAACATGGTAGGTTTCAGGATGTATTTGTGTATGCTTTTGCAAGCAAGGAGTACTTAAGGCTAAGTACTTTGTCCCTCAGTACATGCTGGAGAGAGTACCACTTAAGACAGACTGACTCTTCAGAACCATAAACGATTTACTCGGGCCCAGCCAATGGCAGCAAAGCAACAGAAGATTTTATTTTTCTAATTCAAACCCAAGGTTGCTATAAATAGCAGCGTCAGAAGTGAATTTATCATTCATCTCAGGTCAATGTGTACTTACTCAAAACGGAAACAAAACCAAATTGTCTCCAGCTGTCTGTACACACAAACATGAACACTGTCATCTGCTTTAATGCAGTAGTTCTTCTGTGACCCCCGTAGCGCAGCAGCTAACGTAAACAATTCAAATGCTGCCAATCCTGGAAACTGGTTGCATTGAGTGTGCAGCTCGTGGCTTTAACCACAGAGAAGTGGGTTGCACTGATTAACTGTAGCCACTTGTTGACTCCATCAGACTCTTCCTCTGTCCTCACGTGGGCCAATGATAAACGATGTAGAAGCAGATGAAGAACTGCAGCTGGAGGTAGAACGTAAACTAATAATGGAACTTCACTTTGCACAGTACACACAAACGGACTCTGAGAGTTTCAGGCTTACAGTGTTCAACCCGTATTTACATTTAAACGTTAACATTTGGCTGTGGTTTTATAATAAGCCTAGAGCTCTTCAGTCACTTTGAGCCCTGGCATTTTGATAGTTGGACCAATGATGTCATGTGTCACATCCTTCCACTCCTTGGTTATATATTTATTTTTATGGTCACAACATATGACGACTTGAGTCAATTAAATGGTGAGTAGTTTGCGTCATTTGGGAGGCAAAAAATAAAATGGTGCTTCATTTGTGTCGGTGTTTAAATCAATTTAAAGTCGTAAAATGTATCTAAAATTATTATGTTGGAAAAAATGTATCATCAACATTAAATGTGAATATTTACTAATATTAAGAGGTCTTTTACCCCCGTCCATACTTCCTTTTTGCAACATTTTTTTTTATCTCCAAACAGGAAACTATCCTACTGAAAACAAATGTATAAACATCTTAAACATCATTTGAATTTGAAAAGCTGATACATTGTACAGCACATCTGTCAGAGAAACGTGGACTGACTGTCACTGTGGCAAAATGTCACTGTTGCACGCACTCAAGGGGGAACAACGGTCCCAGGTTCAATTACCATTGCAGCCCTTGTGCGCTTGAGCAAACACCGAGTGCTTAATTAGACAGCTGAGAATAAGAGAAACCTTGACTTAGGCTAGAGACAAATACAACACCCATCATCTCCCTCCTGAGAAAAAAAACCCCTCATAATTCAGCCAGGACGTCCGTCTCATCACTTACTGCTTTTAAGTGTCAGACAATTATTAGTCATAATTAAGACATAGCTGTTATTATATGTTCAAATATAAAGCAATCTGCACTTACCTTGTAATAATTAAAAGGAAAAAAACGCTCCTTTGGGTATTTGAATAAAAATCGTGTGTTCTGCTTCCCGGCGGCTGTTTCCACTGTTATGTTTTGCTCCACAGCAGCTCCTCCTTCTTGGAAGACAATATTCCGCCGTCACTCGCCTCTGTGCGTGTTTCTCTCGCAGAATGAATGAACCGCTGCGTCTCTCCTGCCAACACATTTGCATGGTGGCTGCTGACTGGCTGCTGCGCTCGTTGAGGGCGAGTCCCGGTCATGTGGTTGGACGCAGCATCCTTTCAATCACACGGGCGGGCTCGCGGAGGCAGAGGGATGCAGGAGAGGGACAGATTGTAAAATACAAAGGAAAGTCAAACAAGAGCGGTCCAAACAGGACGGCAGAAGGTCCACTGTGACGCCCTTCAAAACGCTGTCAATACACCAGTTTAAAGGGTATATTATACTACACAAGTACTAATTTGGTTATTCATCACACCTGTGCACGCACCTACTGGTGATGCTCAGGTGTACTAATGACTAATTACACAGTGAGACCACACCGAGCACACAGTAAGTAAATGAGACATATTCTGATTCTATGATATTTTAATGATGTCTGTTGTATGCTATTATATTCTTACTGCTGCTGAAATACTATTAATACTGCAGTAATTCATCTGGCAGTGATGCAGACATGATGATCAGATATATAGACTACTACTACAGTACATGGTGTAGTGTTTCCAAACCCTTTCTGAACCATGGCAGACATTTTGCTGAGCCTGTTTTGTTTTAGTGGAAAATACAAAATGTTCAACACTGGGGTGAACGGTAAACTTTACCGATGACCAAGTGCAGTACATTACGATGCAAACATACCTGCTAAGTACTCACATGGGTACTGAGAGTCGAGGGCAAATGTAGACAGTTGCCCTGAGCCCCCAACTGAAAAAGACCCCATTAACACCCCATGGTTAATGGGTTGCACTTAATTATTTTGACTGTCCATTAACTGATCGCGTCATTCTAAAAATATGCATATTAAAATGCCATTACCATGACTAATTCAGGAGTGACCCGGTCTGTATCAGAGAGCCTCTAAGTTATGATCACATCAGAACAGGCTTCTCCTTTAACTCAAAAGAATAAGAAACATTCTCTGGAACTACGTTGCCATCTGTGGTTCAGGATCAAGCACAGGACTGCAGGTGGTTTTGACAATAAAAGGGGAAATTCCTGATGTTTTTTATATCATCATTGAGCATTTTTTGAGGATAATATTACTCTGTGATGAACTTAAGATATTTGTTACTATGTATAAAACATGGATATTTGTATTAGATAGTACCTTGTTTGTTTGGAATGTGAGCACTTTTGAGTTTGTTGTTGTAGTTTTGCCAGTAGTACGTCATATATAAATATATATATATGGCAGATTTACGGGTGATGGTACAATAAATGCTTTTACACGTTCCCTACAGTGATATAAACATTGACTTCCTGATCACTTCCTGTATGGTTACATAATTGTTTTACTGTATCCCATGTATTGATTTTTGTATATCTATAGCTCACAGCTTCACACTGCAGTGTTTTAGCAGAATGGTGAAACAACTAACCATCCGCTTACTTAGATTTATGCTTCAGTTTATTGACTATGTATATTATTTTCTGTTTTTCTATTCATTTTATTTCATAATAGTGTATTTTTCTATTTTATTCTGAAGACATTTAAATACATATTTTTTTTAATTTTGCCTGCTTTTGTGTAGATGTGTTGCAGCTAAAGACAGAAACCACAGACAGGAGGGAATATGTGTTTCTGTTTGATGAGTCCAAAGAGTTCATCCAGGGCCTCTCACTGGGAGTGACATGACCTTTAGCACAAGGTAAACGTCCATCACACTGTAGGACAAGTGAACACACACTATAGTGTGTGCTCAGCAGTACGTGTGTGTGTGTGTCCTTCAGTTCAAGGAAGGTAATTTAAAAAAAAAAAAAAATCAGAGTCCATAAAACTGTGTATATAAATGAGTCCCATACGCACATTTAAAGAGATTATTAATTGACACTTATCAACTGCCACCTTAAACGTGACATAAATATGGTTCATGTTGGTAGTTTAAGACATGATGGCTTAATATACATTTCTTAGGAGTCTAGTTTAGTTTTTAAACTCATTTAATATTAACAATACTTCACGGTGAAATATTTTAACAATACTGCTCTGGTAAGTTTGTGAGCTGCTTTTTAAAACTCAGAGTAGAAGTGAGTGTTGAGAGGAGGCACAGGATCTTGCACCTATTTAAATCTTTCCTGTTCCTGATAAATTATCATGAAATCTCCTTTTCCTTCCTTCAATCTGTCTTTAGCCTCTTTCTCTCTCCCCTCTCCTCTGTCTCAATGTATTATTGAACGCACATTAATTGATATAAAATGGATTTGAATATAGCATGGGACTCCTCATTTTACTTCTATAAATATTCATAAACGCGCATGTGCACGTACGCACCGCGTTGCCGTAGGAGACAACCTGTCGCGTCTACCTTCATCCTCTCGTCCCTTTATTCTCTCTCTTTCATATCACCCGCCAGTTGTCACTTTTCTGCGATTCTTCTCCTCGCTCTCTCATTGTTTACCTTTGTGTGTGTTTTTTTTTTTCTATTTACCTTTACCAACCCAGTGACTCTACATTCGGGCCAAATCACACAGCGCGGAGACACAAACATGTCTCCATGCGTGGACGATCAGGTCCGGTCTCCTAATGAAAGTGTAAAAAATCTCACATTAACAGCCATAAATTAAATTCTGAAACCTTCAGCCATGTCTGAGCGTGGGTCTGCCAAGGACTGCGTATGTGGTGTGAAATTCTTCGCCATGGTGGCCAGTTAACTGCCTAATTGACCTTTCCACACTCCTCAAAGGACGCCTCGTCCATCCACTTCCTTCCGCTTCCTATTCCCTGATTTCCTTTTTAGCCGTCCTTCATCCTCCGTACTGATCGTTGAGAGACACCGCTTCTCCTTCACTCCACTCCTTCCCACTTTTTCTTTTTTTTCTCCAATCCTTTTAAATTTTGGGCAGTACCAATTATGCCATACACTTTCAAACTTGAAATGTTTCTTATCCTTAATCAGGTTTATTGTCACCTTGAAGACTGCTAAGTGGATCATGTTTTTATTAACTCTCTAACAAGGCGTGTGACTTTGACTTTGCACACTGTTTGTTTTCAAGGTGTTGCCTACGAGAATTCAGGATGTGCTCCGAACACGGTTTCACCAGTAAGTGTCTTTTACAAAGACAAACGTCTTTAAATTGTCAGATGATATCAAGGTTAGTTTTCAAGTACGATACCTTGAACTGATCATGAGAATTGGGTATGTAGTTCCTGCTAAAGCATGTGTTTCATCTGTAGCTCAGCATCTCATGAGACAATTGTGCAGCGCGAGGGCTTCGGCGAGCATTGACAGTGTGTCTGATGTAAAGGTTTTCAGGGCTGGGACTCCACAGGGAGCCATGGTGCTCTGTACGCATGGGACTTTTAAACTCTAAAATTATTTCTGATGACAACAACCAGACATACAGGTTTGTTTTTTGATGTTTTTGATGATGATATATTGTATTTTGTATTGTATTTACGTTACAGTGAAGGCCTTGAAGATAATAGACTGATCTAGAGGTAGAAGTTTAAAGAAGGGATAGTGTATGTGTTAGACAAATAATGTTGGAAGTGGAGCATCCATCCAGGGAGAAACTTAAAGACTTCAGAGATTATTATTATTATTATTAAACAACGAGAGATAAGATAAAGGTAGAAGATCTTTTTAATGGACACCTTTATCTTCTTAGATCTCTTTTCTCCGTACTTACGTCTAGAATCACTGACTCTTGTGGCCAAGCAATTCTAATCTCTGTGTGCTCCATGAAGCAGAGGAGAGATATGTCCAGAAATCAGGGATATTGTGATTGTTCTAGAAGACAAACATTCAATCATGCCATGTTTACACCTCTTTGACCATTTCTTCAACAGGTAAAGCTGAGGACATGACATCTCACAAAGGCCAATCTCACATTTGGCCTCTTTCGCTGGCCACTCACGTTACAGCACAAAACCATTTTTCAGACCAGTAACAAATCCCTCTTCGATGTAGATGGGCTGCGTTGGTGTTAATGAACCTGTCTCCAAGCACAGCAATGGATGTAGCACCTTGGGCACTGGGCCGTTTAATCATCTTGGAACAAAGAAAGGAGCAGACAGGGACACACGAGGAGAGAGAGGAGGGGAGGGACGAGGGACAAGGCAACCATGACGATCACCTCAAATTGGACACTGATTCCTCTGCAAGTGCCTTTACATAGAGAAGAGAAGAGGGTAACAGGGGAGAGGAAAAATAAGGAAAGGAAAGGAAAGGAAAGGAAAGGAAAGGAGAGGAGAGGAGAGGAGAGGAGAGGAGAGGAGAGGTTACGAGTACTTTTATCGTAAACAAAGTAACTGCAGCAGCACTTCTTCACAGTTTGAGTCCATCAAATTTAAAATAATTTCCAAAAACCAACCTTAATAACGTGATGATTTTTCTTTTTAGAATTTTAATTACTGTATAATTCTATGTTTGTTTCTTTCATTTCTTTCTTGTGCCTCCTCTCTCCTCCTCAGCTGCAAACATCTGCCTCTGTCCCTAATCATTAATTGACTCCTGTGGCAGGGCAATGTTGGAAATCAGTTTCTATTCCTGTAGATATAAATCTATTACAGTAGACAGACGATGATGTATGCCACAGCGTTCCTGAAATAACTGCTGCTGGAGATTCAGGCCCAGTTCATTGCATGCACAGCGGAGTAGGAGGGAATAGAAAATATGAATGAGAGCCGAGCTCTCGGATGAGCTGTGTTTACTACGAGGCAGATAACAGGTGGTGACCATTTCTGGTTTGTCTGTGTGTGTGTGTCTGTGTGGAGAGCGAACGCGACGAGAGAGTTGAAGGTTGCAGACATTTTCACTTCAAAGGCTGCTGAGGGTGCAGCGCAGATTAAAGCGCACTAGGAATCAAAGGGCCTCAGGTGGTAGAAAACACACAGGTTCACCCATATGTCTGTGTCTGTGTGTGTGTCTGTGCACACAAGTGAGTGACAAGTTGTGTATTTTTTGTTTTTTGTTTTTGTCATAGAAGAGATGTTCTTTCTATTTTTACCTCTTATCTCTGCTAACACGTCTCCTGTTTCTTCTTCTCCTCTGCGGTTTGTCGTTGTGATTCAGTGTTTTTGCAGGAGTGCAGGTATAAGGTGGAGGATGAAGGGATATTCCACCCAGACCAGACATGCAGTTGGCTCATTTCACCTGGCAGACGTCCCTAGAAGGTAGAGATGTTTTGGTGCACTGCGAAATATAGGACAAGTGGGACTACGGATTTAGGAAGTCGATACAAAAGCAAATCACAAATGTCAGCAAATCCTGCTTGTTTATTTTAGTCGGACCATCAGGTATCAATATACACTGGTATAGGTCCAGTTAAAGAGACATGAAGATGGTTGGAAGAATTATATATATATACCTATATACACATATATAGGCTTTACATTATTTGGTGTACATTGTTATTATTACATTATTATTAATTTACTTCAGACAAATGATAGGTGGATAGAACGCTACTTAAGGCTTGACATTTGTTTTACACTGTGTAAGAGCCGTGTGCTTAAGTGGCATTGAGCAGAGGTAGAAAAGGGCAAATGCTTTTTTTTTCCACATACAAACACACATTGAAATCATAAAAAAGAATAGCTCGCAATCCCCACTTACCATCCTGTAGATAGACCAATTACTGTACAATAGTTTTTGTACATTAAACATGTCCAAAAGTCAACGATATTTCCAAAGTATTAAAATTTGATTCTTGTCTTTCGGAGCCTTCCTCCCTCTCACTACCCATTTTTTTCCCCTCAACTGATGAAAATGCTTTCTCCTGAGCAGTATCTGCTAATTTGCACTTGATGATCTGCCCCTGCCTCACTCCCCTCCTCGTGCACAGCAACACAAGGCTGAACCACACCGCCCTCCCCAGCGTCCAGCCTGGACTCTCCACACACCCACTCAACGCTACAGTGAAAGAAGTGTGAGAACTCAAAACACTACGCCCCAACTGCTGAAACGGCACGGTGTTAAATGTCTGCGTGAAGTGTTTGGCTAACAATGGCAAAATGAGAAGAGTGTATCAGCTCAGTTCACCTTAATGCCCACGTACTCTCCCTCTCTAATGTCTTGGCCGGCTTTGAAGTAAACATAACCACACACATGGCTAAACAGTCACACATAGACACTCACACAAACACTTACGCACACGAATAATTGCACTTAGACAGGCTGACAAGTGTCTGCTCCAGTGCATGTCGCCATAGCAACGGTCAGCAGTGTTTTTGCTCTTTGACTGTGCTCAGCTCCACTCATGTGAGCGCACCAACACATCCATTCACATTTATGGCCTCAGAGGTGATTCACTGGCTGAGGAATTGTCGGTGCACTCGTCTCACACTGATTTATTACAGCCATCTACAGCATAAATGCAGGAAGTGCATTTAGCGTGAACTTAGATGCACTTAAGTGCATTCAAAGAGATCAAGCTCAAACGGCGAAGGCATTTCTTTCTGGATATGAAGGTTCATTATTCATTTTATTGGGATAATTATTTTAACCACGCATAATTTTGCACGAAGACATAAGGATGGGTAATATCCAATGACAGTTCTGGGGGTCATTTTAATCAAAGACTTGCAACATGTACTTTATTGTTGAAAATAATAATTTTGGTACAGAAAACTATATATTACACTTACATTTTTTCAATACATTAAGCAGGCAAGAGAACAAAGGAAGAAAAACGTATTTGATATAATGCTGATCTTTGCTACGTAGATATCCAGAACAGTGTATTTTAAGATAAGGATATTGAACAACTCATTAAGAAAATAGTGTGTCAAATACAACCAATAGCTGGAGTTTTAAGGTCTCTGGTTAAAGTACAAATACACTGTTAAACACACATTGAAATACACATGCTTATCAGCTGATCTTTATGGTTTCATCAGATGTAACTGTAAAGGCACTGTAGAGCTGATCTCATCTTACACTGGCTCTAACAGACAAGCTGGAAAGTTGCATAAATGACTACACTGACAAAATACTGGCATACTAGCGAAACAAAAAAGGAAGGTGAAAAATAGAACCAAGTCTGTAATAAGTTAAAAAAAAATAGACATAAATGTGATCTATAACATTCAACTTTGAAATGTTATTGCTATACATATTTCAGCATTTCAACAACAACTAAAGTAAATAACGATAATAACAACAACAATGATATGACAATGAAAAAATATATCTATATTATATATGTTTTTGGTTACATGCTATAGTAGCACTGAGAGTTTTGCACTAACCCAGAAAATAATCTCATCTTTGGAGATAAATTAGAGCCAACCAGAAATTGGCAGTGGAACATTGTCTTCAAATCGACGGTGGAGCCACAATTGGTGTGGAAGTTAATGGACTGACCAACCGCTGTCACTTTGACCTCGACTGCTCGTCCATACCAGCCTGATCCATCAGCTCTGTCACGTTTTTCTCAAGGTCAACAATGCGGGTTCCCATTTCGTTCAGTGTAAAAGTGAAGGGAAAAAAAAAAACAAAACATCACTGCAGCTCTAACTTTTTGACAGACAATTAGATTTTTCACAGAAGGGATATAAACTTCCTTCCATGCAGAAGAGACGATTAGGGAATATTTGCTCTTAGTTTTTAAATTATTGTTAATTACTTACACAGTTAAATGACATATGTCTGAAACTATCTTTTTTTTTAGATTTAGTAATGAAGTATAAGGAAGTTGTAAATTAAAGTCTATACTAGATTTTGCTACTTCTTAATTAGCCCTTTATATATACTGCAGTGTTTGTACCCAATTACAATTTCCAGGTGTTTTTCATGACGTAAGCATGACGTTTTAATCACATGTAGGGGAAATAGACCATAAAGCATAAGATAAGGATGGTGCCGTTGAAGGTCGCCTGTAAAATACTGTACAGTTGTACATATCAACTCACTGGCACCATCTCCTGTCAAGCTAAAATTCCTACGGTAAAAACCACGCTAAAAGGATATGTCTGGATTCCAGTTCTTCGGATATTGTCTGGAATTTCTCCTGCAGGCGCTTCATCGTTTCGTCCATCTGCAGACACAGTGAAAGGTCAAACATCTGGGCTAATGTAAAAGTTTGTTTCTCCTCCACTTTAGCTCCTCGCCAGCTCAGTGCAAACAAACTTACCGCATCCATCAAGTCATTAGCAGCTTTAGACTCGTCTGTGTTCGACATCGTTTTATCAACAGATTCAGGTGAAGTGGAACTTGCTTCTTGATTACGTTTTCTTGTATATTGTGCTAAAAGATGTTGTAAACCGCCGTAGAAACGGACCGTACAGTTTCCTTACAGAAATGTCAGCTGTCTGCCATAACTTTGCGCAGTAATTTTTTAAGAGGTTAAATCAATCTGAACTTCCGCTTTAGGAGTCATTTATCAAAATAAAAGTCATCCAGGTTGCGTCACATTCTACAATTTTCTTTTTTGAATGTTGAATCACTTCACAACACAAATAAATAAAAATAAAAATAAACCAAGGTACAAACCGTTTCACTGTTTTATTAAAATAATTGCAAAACAATAGCAGCGGCAGATACATTTCACCTTTACTAGCAATGCCGGTCCAATATTGTTTTTATTGTATTTAGTTACTACATAAAAGATTGTCCTGGATTAGAGCGTTGAGGACTGATTTTTTTAGTTTATTTTACTTAAGCCTTAAAAGAACTTTTGCTTCGATGCAAATCTGTATTTATTTCAACTCAATATGTTTGCACTATTTATATACGTGTAGCGGTTCCACGGGCCTGATAAACTGTAAACTACGCTCCATATAAATTATTTAGAAGTAGGTCCAGAGGCAGAACAGGAAATGCATTAAGGTGCATTTAAATTGAGGCAAGGGTTTTTAATGGAACACTATCAAGTTTATAACATGTTTTTGGCATTTGCATAATATCAATTCAATTTTTTAATGTTTATTTTTATGTAAATTTGGTCAAATGCATATCCAAAAAACAAAGTTGGAAAAGGGGGTGGGGGCGGGTGTTAAACGCTCGTGCACACCGTCAAAACTGCACACTGTAGGTGAGTTATCTTGACTCAGTCGACATTCTTTGTACGTATGACGCTTTAGGATACGGGAAGTGTTAGCAGATTAAAATCATTCTTGATCCGAATAAACTTAACTGGAGGAAACAGCGAAGCTATAATAACATATGTTCTTAGGTTTTGTTTGAAATTGCGTTATTTTTGAATTACGGTTGTTTGTTTTGGATTTTTGTTTGTTAGAAACTATGACAATTTTGTTTTTTACAACGAGCGCGGCGTCTTAGCCTCTCAGAGTAAAGTTCAGTCTTTAAACAATGCTAGCTACTGTAGCGTCAGAGTCCTGGAGCTTATCACCAGCAGCAGCGCTGTTCTCTGGGATATTAACAATAACCGGTGCCGTATGTCAGCGATGTTAATAGTTTTTTACTAAAGTAAATGAGACATATTTGCAGGGTTACTGCGCATTCCACTGCTTTTTATGTTATTGCCACAACGTCATTCAGTGGTTTGCCCCCTGTGTCTTTCTAATGATGGCGTGGCAGTAGATGTGTTGTTTGTCGACAAACACGGATGGTTCTCCCTTCAGAACTCCCAGTCACCACAGCAGCAGAGGCGGAGAATCGACCAACAGAGCCTGTAGCAGACAGTAGACATCATTTCATCACTAATTGCCTCGGTGTCTCACTGGAGAGCAGCAGCTGAAACATGGATGACGAGCTCTTAGTACAGACTGTGTCCGTGTTTCAAGAGCTGGTCTCGTGGATCGCCGGTGGATTCATGGTGTTCGGAGGGGTGCTGCCCTACATCCCTCAGTACAGGGACATCCGCCGGACGCAGAATGCTGAGGGCTTCTCCAGCTACGTGTGTCTGGTCCTGCTGGTAGCAAACATCCTTCGTATCCTCTTCAGGTAACATCCTCCAGCTTCTACTGTATGCTGAGAATCTACCAAAATTACCATTTGCACGTCCATTATTGGTCTAATTCACTGGATGATATTATAACAGGAAATACATTGGATTTACCAAAGTGCTATAAAGCACCATCTGATCTCACATCCTGAGGGTTTGAACTGCAAAAATAAATACTTAAGGCTAAGATAAAGTAAATGTCAACCTTATTAAAACTTAAAAGTAAAAGCCTGCAGTTAAGTAGACAGAAATCCAGTCGACAACTGGAGTAATGACCTCAACCTGTCTTGTCACAAATATAAACCGATAATAAAGATTTTTATTTTAACTTGACATAGTCAACTCAGAAGTTTCACTGGATGTTGATATGACGTGTCCTGTCAGCTCTTTGTTTTTTAACCAAGGCGTGGTTGCTCTGCCAAAACAACCATGTACGTGTCACGATAAAAACACAACATGAACTCAGTGGAACTATTAGCTCTGTGCAGCTTAGCTTTATGCCTGTTTTAACCTGAAACTAACTTTACCTGCCACCACAGTTTAGTTTTGAGAAATTTGAGAAAAGTTTAGAGTAGGCCCTCACATTTTTAATATGACTACCATTTATGTGAGACATTTATTATTTTATTATGTTGTTGTATTGAACTTGTCTGCATTATGGAATCTTAAAATTTTGGTGTGTGGAACTGGAAATATATATTTATTTTAATAGTTGTTTTTACCTGCTTCAGATTTGGCCGGTACTTCGATACCTTCCTGTTGTGGCAGAGCATCATCATGATCATCACTATGCTCATCATGCTGAACCTGTGCACCAGTGTCCGCATGGCCACAGAACTCAACACAAAGAGGCGCTCCTTCTTAGGTCAGGTCACCACTCCCGACATTGTTGACACTCACAATCTAATGTGTTTCCCTTTCTTTTAAGTTCAGAAGTTTAAAAAAGACAAACAAAACACACCAGGAATTCTGGGCCCCATTGAAGGGTATTTCAGGGCCCCTATATAACACACTTGAAGATGAAGATAAGAAAATCAAACTCCTCTTCTTCATCTTCTTCTTTCCCTGTTTACTTCAATTCTCATTTTTGTCTGTAGCCACAGACAGTAAGGACGAGGATGTCAGAATCCCTAAGCGACACTTTCTGGGTATGTACACAATTTACTGTGTCTGCCATCAAACATCACTGTAGTTCATCTAGCTCCCCCTCTTCATCTGTGCGTGTGTCGTGCATGACGACCCAGTGTCGACTCCGCTTGTTGTTTGTAGCCCGGCCTCTACTAACACCATGTACAACAGACATGTTTTACATGAAGACCTGACCTTTCCAGCCGCTGCTGTGATGGTTTTGCTGCATGTTAGTAGGCAACCTCTAAACATGCATGTGAGTACATGTATGTTATACAAGTCGTTTGTTATTTAGAAAGTGTTAGAGCTTTTTTTTTTTTTTTTTTTTGAGATTGTATAAAGTCACAGAGTAACAGAGAAAGATGCTGACACTCAGTGAAAGCATGGCTGTAACATAAAAAAGAGCAAGAAGTCTAACCTATGTGTTCTATTAATTTGGAAATTGTCTTTTTTCCTCCCACTTCCACATTCATAAAACCATCGAGAAAATCAATTGTTTTAGTTGAAGATTTTTGGGGTGGTCCATTAGACGCTAAATATATCAATATATATTAATTAAAGTCACACATGGGTTTTTGTTTTAGTCTTATTCTTGTTTTTATTCGATTTAATGGTGCTGAATCTAACGTTGAAATACTGGTTCTGGCCACAGGAGGGCGGTAAAATGCGGTGTGGAGGAGAAAACCAATGTCTACTAATACAACTTAACGACAAGTTATAGACCAATAAAAAAAAAAAAAAACTGCTCAAGCCCACTGTATTAACAAATATAACCAGTGTTAAACTAATTACATGCATACAGTACACCTGAGCTTCTTAGTGTGACTTTTATAGTGGTATCTTTCAAATGAATGTACTTGTTACTGATTTACTACTTGCTGACATTCTGACTTTTGTTTTTGTGTTTGGCATGTATCAGTTTGCATAATGATCACTCCTTTAAAACATTTTCTTTTTCCAGTGTGTTTGCATGTTGACATGTCCATGTCTTTTTACTCCTATGTGTTTCTCAGTTATTCTAAAACATCTTCTGAACTGTTAATCTCTCAATTAAAAAGGGATGAATTAAAAAAGAGGGGCCAAGGACCAAGCTTTGGAGGACCTTCGTAGTAGGACTTTACTGTTAGCTCTTCAAAGTGGGCTTTTTTATTTTTTGGGCTCAATAGAAGACTTGTCACAAAGAAATGCGTTGTAATTTTCAGAAAATAGCATATCTTTAATATTAATAATCAAAAACGTGGAAGTGAAATGTGAACGTTTCATAGTACTAGTACTAGTGCAGGTGTCCAGGACATTTGGACCATATTGTTATGTATTGTTCCGTGCATGCAGGCGATGTTCGGTTGAATGTGCTGTAAAGGTTGTTGTTCCCGTTAGAGGCGCTAGATGGCAGTAAGAAACCACATTTCTTCAACCTGAAACGGCACAGTGGAGACTTTGTTTACCATCACACTCAGTTAGTTTGTAGAATTTAGATGTGATGCTTTTGTCTGTTAGTTTGTTGTTTTTTTTGTTGTTTTTTTGTTTTTTTATGTAAAAAGGGAGGGTACCTAAAAAAAGTTTACAACATGTAAAAATTCTTGCATCAAAGTCGACACACTTTCTACAAGTCAGACCAGTTTTCATGGAGCAAGATTTCTTAACTGCATGCTTCTCGGATCTGATGAACAGCTCTTTTTTTGTAAGCTAAGCCTCTTAAAAAAAGGCAGCTCTAATTTCTTCTCACATTGGTCCAGTGGAGCCATTAACACACACCATGTACTTCCATCAAACAGCTGGACAAGAGTCGGCAGCAATTTCTCTGAGAAAAGGTTACGGTTTTAATAGCAGCTTGGTGAGATTTTTTATGGAAGAGTTCTTGGTGCAGTACTTTAGAACGACTGAAAGACCAGAAATACTCGTATTGTATTTATTTCCAGTGGTCAGTATCCAGTGAAAATCTCCAGGGTCTTTATCTCCTCCACCTCCCACTCAGCCTTTTGTCTGTTTGACAGAAACCACTGTCTCTAAGCCATACATCATAGCAGGTCTCACTACTGTATTATTAACCTTCCATTTTACCTTTGCTGCTATTTTTCTGTCACAAATCACCCTTAACCCTCATCTCCATCCATTCGACCTTGACTGCTTCCTTTTCTTCACCTCTTTTGTGTAGTGTCCATTACTCTGAATGGTTGGCAGTAGGTATTTAAACTCATCCATCTTTACAACCTCTCCTCCTTGCAGCTTTATCATTTGCACACGTGTATTGACTTGTTCCTGACTGCATAACTTTTGCTAGTATGTTACTTTTGTCTCTCACAAACATCAATTAATCTGGCTGTGACCGCTAACAAGATTTCTCCTTTCCTGTGTCTAGGGATGACTCATTTCTCATTTCCTATTCTTGTCTCGCCAAGATTTTTATCTGTAGCTTCATTAAGTTTAAAGCGAATCACCTTCTACTGTATTTATGCAGTTATCTCTTTTCTCCAGGGCAGGTCAAGGCCGTCAGCTTCTCAGCTAATCTCATATAGACATAGAGAAGTAGCCCAAAGTTTTGGTCTCTAGGAGAAAGCCTATAAGTCACCCTGACAAAGCAACTTCCAAAGTTCAGAAAATAAAGTCAGTTGAATTTCTACATTTTCGATTTTCCAGGCTGTTAAACCCATCTTTCTCAATAATGTTCTGGCATCTCCAACGGGTGCCTTTGAGTGGCAGCGGGTCATTATTTCATTTGACCCAGTAGACTTTTTCTGGGCCTTACTTGAAACTGACAGCAGACGTTGGTAAATAAGCATTTGGAATCTCCTAGTCCGACTTGTGTCTTCCTACACATGTTACTCAGGACTCTGTGGGACTTCAAACTAAGCTGTCGGCCACCGCAGGGAGTCTGTTATAAGCAGCTCCAGTTTGTCCCCACACAGCACCACCGCTGTAGCGACAAAGTACATGCGTAGAGAGGAGGAGGGAAGTGCCCCAGGGTGCACAATTGGCTCAGAAAAAGATAGTGTGTGGCAAAATAAGTTCAAGGTGCTGTGCTGCGATAAATAACATTTAGTGGTCAGTGTGAAATATTGGTGACACACTGTTCTGCCCACATGATGCTGTGTTCACAGAGGTGTCCCCATGACACCTGCCTAAAATACTTGTGAATTTGTTGTCCCTGGCCAGTAATTTAATAAAAAAAAACATACTTATTGTTAGAAAGAGAGACGGGGGGGACGTGGATGTGGTTAAGACCTAAATGGGAGTTCAGGACTTTTAGGTACAACACTTGCAAAAATGTCGCAGTAAAGTAGCTCTTCATTTAGTTCTACGTTTTTGTTTTTTTTTTGGTATCTAAATGGCAGGCATTTCTCACTCCAACTACACACCTCACCACTGCTCAGCTGTTGTCATCAGATACTCAGTACTCCTTCCATCTTGAAAAAAACAACAACATTCTGCTCTTTATCTTCCCCATCTCTGTCTCCGTCTTAAGCCAAAGGCTACAAATCCTTTTGTCCTTCCTTACCACCCAGCCTCTCATACGAATCATAAATCAGTAGTGCTGATGTAATTGCAAATCTTAAATACACAACGTTGTTTTGTAAGATCATGAATACTCCCATTATGGCTACTACAGTCCATGGTGGAACAATATACTGTATGTGGCTAAATCCTCCTAGCAGACAACAAATAATAGGCAACGCACTGTTGAGTGCTGCTGCTATTTACTAATGTTCTGTGCACATACATCCTGCGCCTGTGTATAATCACTTGAAGCTTTTCATAATATGTAGTTTGTCTTATGTTTAATGTAGCGCTTTACATGTGCCCTTTACAGACACGAAAAACCAACATGTGCTGAGAAAATGTGTTGCCCTAGAAATCTGCTCTTCCCCGCGGTTGTCGGCACAGCCAGCCTGGTGTTTGCTCTGCCCAAACATAATGTCCTCTAGCGCTGCTGCCAGTGAGCATCCAAAGAAACCCCAGAAAAATGCCGTGCCACGTGCCAAATAATACGACCCAAAATGCATGACCCTTGGTGTTCATTCCTACGGTCTGACTGACCGAAACAGTTTGGCAACAAGTCCTGATGTGCGTGTGCTGTGGGCTGCAGGCTGCGACCTGTTTGGAGCTGCCCTTTCGGAGTTATTTAGTTACATTCAGTTGTCTGCCACAACAGAACAATTGGATTAACCAATGATTGTAAAAGCCAGGTTGGCTCGCATGCGTTTCCGCCATGTGTATTCATTTAAAAATGTCATCCAAATGTCAGTATCAGTCACCGTTAATTTTCAAATGAAAAAAAAAATTCATTCAATCAAAATGTCAAAAACGTCTGTTTCACTCTAAACGGCCTGTGCCTTTGTTGGATTGAGGCGGTGCGGTTAGTTCGGCTCTTAAACAATGCTTGGATTATGAATTTTGTTCATTTTATTGCAACATAACCGCCCCAAAAGTTCTTGGTTATTGTTTTTATTATTGTTCAGAGTTAATAAGAAAATAATGTGTATATCTTATGAAGTTACAACAGCTCAAGGATAAAAAAATATTAAAAAAATTTCCAATAGCTGAGCTTTTAGAATTTCTTTTTAATAACTACACACTACTCAAAATGAAGGGTAAGACCATTTTATTCCCCGGTGTGCTGAATATGTGCTTGAAACTTTGTTGGAAAATAATTGAAAATAACATGAATCATGGAGATAGCAAAAAACTTCTATCTATCTATTTTTACTTAAAAACTTTGACAGTCCAGAAGTAAAATGTTTTTCAGCTCTGTTAAAATTTTCTTTTTCATGTTCATTAATTCATTAAGTTCCATTTTGGTATTTGTTATGGACATTTTATTACGTTAGTAACTAGATAAAAGTATTGGCTAACTTCTGTTCTGTTGTGATTTCTCTCTAATGTGCACCTTAAAGATTTTGACTGGAACTACTTCTGGTTGTGGAGCCGCTTTCAGGACTACGTGCAGTGCGTGCTAACTTTCACAACGGTGGCGGCTTACCTTACCTATGTACTTCTGGACTCGGTACTGTTCGTGGAGACTTTGGGATTCCTGGCTGTTTTTTCCGAAGCAATGCTGGGCACACCGCAGCTGTACTGCAATTATCAGAACAAGTCCACTGAAGGAATGAGGTATGGATTCAGCACCTGCTCATCATATGATATTGTCATGTTTTTCACAGACAATATCATATATGAGTAGCTAGGGTAACTTTAGCGACATAACTATTTGACTGCAAACTAAGCCCTATATAATTTATAAACTTGTTTAGTTTGAAAAGTTGTATGACTCTTGTACGTGGTTGTAAGGTTCTTCTCTTTCCTTTCAGCTACTCATGCAGTTATAGAAAACTTGTTGGTGGGTGTGTGTCACTTGATGATAATTTACCATCAAAGTCTCCGATGTAAATCAAAACAAAGCCTGTTGTATCATTACACACACACTCCAGCTATCTCATGATGAGGTGTTCTATTTTGAGCTATTCCATCAAGCTCTGCTCTCAGGGTGTTTTGTGTGGGTAATTGCTCCTTTTTTTTTTTTTTAAGCCTTACATGTGCTCATTGACGCTGACTGACACCTGCTTATTAACTATTTTTGGCACCTGTCGAGCAAAAAGCAAAGAACAGGCATCCTGACATCTAATAATTATGCTAAGATTTCTGGAGGTCTTTATGCAAATGAGATATTATGACCTGCCCTCTCTGTTGCTAGTATATAATCTATCTCTTTAAAGGCAATTTGCATCACAACTGAAGCTTAAATTATAGTCTTTGATTTTTCTTTTAAAAGCAGTATAAAAATCTCAGTGCTATTTCTACGCAGTAAACACCGTCTCTCTAGAGTAAGACTCGAGGACATTAAATAGAAGCAGCAGCATATTAATATGATGGAGAGAAAATTATAAAAAAAGAAAAAAATATTCGACTGGAGATATGAGACTTGTTTAATAGAATTTACAGACCAAAAGAGAAGCTTTCCTGCTGTGTGAGAATATTACCAAAGTTAATCACTCTGTCGGCTGCTGTGTGAAACGAAACAGTTGAATGCCTCGTTTTTTATGCAGCGGAGCAAGGACACGCTAATTGTCAACCCTTTACCTGAACAGACGGACGTGTCCGCAGCTCTCTGCCTGTATGTCCTCCGTTTTTATACGTCTCCTTTCAAGCTGAGTTTAAAACACACAAATATAGCTGAACGTCTTAATGATGAGAATATTATTAATAATATTCATTCACTATTTATTATTTAATTATTATTAATGTTATTATTGCAGTAGTTATTATTGATATGAAATCTTAGGTAGTTTAAATAAAACAGTATATATATAATATGTAATGATTTATTTTATATATTTTATACAAGTATCAAGTACAATGAAATATTTACATTGCCACAACAGGAATTACTGTGTTTTTGGCACTTGATCACATCCTGCTGGCCTGAAATATGAAGCCCCCGTGTCTGTTGTCTCACTGTAGCCGTCACTCACACAGATAAAAGCTGAAATAGGAGGCAGAGGACATTGTCATATCCACTCTTGTTTATTCTTGCGTCCATGTGCACATGTGCACAACCTGTTGAGTCTGACATGGTGTTGCTAGGTTACTCTACTGCAGCACCTCATTCAAGGTATCTGACTGGACCTGAGAATTAAACAAGGAAACGGACATGCAGTAAAAAATACATTCAAATTACAATTTGAATTTAGAAATTGTACGTATTTTTCCTAAGGTGAAAACAAACATGAGGGTGGAGTGTTACTGGTGGGTGCTGTTTTTTTTTAAGTGTGGTGCATTCAGGTGAATAGAGACCACACTGGTTTCCTCCTAATTAATGGTGCAGTGGTGCTCTACCCATCACTTCTGCACAGGGGTCACTCTGTAAGTGCTGGATTATTTTCCCCGTGCTTTCAATTTCAGGCTCGTTTCAAGCACCTCATTCACCATGGAGATGGAATCAGATGGGGTTAACGGTAGCAAGTAGAATTCATACTGGATGTCCTGAGTGCGTGTAAACACACACCAGAGCAGCACTGTGACAAAGCTGTTAGACAGGAAGTAGTTGTTCTCTTCATCAAATATGGAGGAAGATGTTCTGCAGTTGTCTTTGTAGGTTGTCACAGTGACCAGAATTTGACCCTCACCGCACTTACAGTAAAAAGTTGTTACGTGCAACTGTATGTTCCATTCTGCACTGCATTTTTACCCCTGTTTTTTGGAGGATTTTTTTAGATTCAAATTTTGAGAAAAACTTCACTTAAGAAAAATATGTGGTGAATAGACCAATAAGAAATGAGGACAGAAACTGTTGCAGAATATAAGGCTTTAAATCCTCCTGTGGTGCTCATGTTGACATCGGCTCAGGATATTAATGATAAAAAGTTAAAAGTAGTTGGTTTTTTTGTTTGTTTGTTTTGTGTTTAAATCCTAAGACTGGTAAGACTTAAGATGAGATCCCAGTGTTCTGCTCAGTGCTGCTGTTGAACAGTCAGTTTGTGTCGGGATGAAGGAGCAGCTCCTTCCCACACTGTGGGTGCAGCAGTCTTCAGCTGAAGGAGCTGCTCATCACACCTACAACGTTGTGTAGGGGGTGAGAGGAGTTGTCAACCACGCTTTTCAGCAAAAAAAAAAAAAAAACTGCTTTCACCCAATTCCCCTTCTTTAACTTGTCTCCTGTTTTACCTTCATTAACTTTAACTTGCTAATTTTTAACAAATGAAGTATTTTGGTAAGGATAAGCAATCAAAATTTTGATAATTAATAAGATATGATCATTTATTTTGTATCAGAGTAGACGATTACGATTACGATTATGGATTGATTATTGAAAAAAATGGAAATCAAACCCGGGACTCTCTCTACACCAGTAGAACCGTTTACCACGCGACAGTAACTTTCTCTGTGTGTATGTAAAGTACATGCAGCGTAAAGGCTTTAACTATTATTAGACTCTCCCAGACCTGTGTGATTCTTAGCAGACAGCCATAAATGAAGAAAATACAATCACACAAACACACACCCTTAAACAGGGAGTTGGACGTGCAGGCAAACAATGGCCTTATAAGGCCTCTGGTCTTGAGCTGCATCCCCAGTATCTTAGATAAACGACCCAAACCTTATTTAGCCTGCAGGCTGCACATGGACAGGCACTGACATGCTCACACTGACCCCACATGTCCTGATACGGATGTGACTGCTGATGCGCTCGACCCTCCACCCATGCTCGCCTGCTCGGCTCGGCTACAGTGTGGTTCAGGTTTGTCCCTGCAGTCACTTGCTGCGGCTGGAGAAATTTGAATCCATCTGTCCAACATGTCCACTTCACGCCATCTGCTCGCGCCACACACGGAGCTGTGTTTCCTTTTTCCTCCAATAGGAAAATAAACATGCAAATTAGTTTCTCCCGCACCTTTAGGCATACACATGTTTTTAGGATTGAAACTAATTTGAGTATAGTAATTATATATATATGTGAAAAATAAAGATAGAAGAACAAATTCTTTACCATCTTTAAAATCTTAAAAACAGGTCGCAAGTTATAGTAGCAGTCCAGGTAATTTTGTACGACATTATTCGTCCGCTTTGCTCTCCAACTAGTTTCTGTGTGGAATTTGTTTTAACATAGTACGTTCAAATGATGCAACATGCTTTCTTAATGAATTGAAACATCCTAGGTTGAGGACATCATAAACCGAGGACTTCCTGTATTTATTTCTTTGTAAATTATGGCTCCTATTTAACCTACTATTCTGTTCCGAAGAACGTTAATTTCAAGACTGCTTTTTTCTTTAGTTCATTAAACTAGTCCTCACATTACTCGTTATGAATTAATCTAACGTTCTAGGTTAACGTTTACTGTTTTTATGTTGTATTCCAACCTCACATCCATTGTGCAAGGCACATGCAGTCTATTGTTTCAACCGTGGTCCCTGCAGCTCTGTCTCTGCACTGCCATCATTTACACCCAGAGCTCTGTGTTCTCTCTCGCTTCCTCTCTCGCTATGTCGTGTCACAGAAGGTGAGAAAGAAGCCAGACGTGACGGCGTCTGGTTGCTGTCCCTCTCTGTGCTACCTGTTATTAGAGAACTGGTGAAGTAATTGATCAAACACGCGTCCTGTCGCTCCCTTCGTTACCCACTAGTAAACATCATCAAAACCGAAGACAGCAGCCTCCAGGAAACAAGCGAAAGAGTAAAGGATGAGAGACGGGGGAGGCAGGGAGGGAGGGAGGGTCACCATCCTCACGGCTAACATATTCCTTACTGTGCTAGAGGAGAGTGAGGATAGGATAGGCAGGGGGGAGGCACATGGAACTATAGGTTCAGATAAGGATGGAGTTGAGAGAAGGAGGTGGTAAGAAGATGAATGGACAGGGAGAAAATAGAAGCCCTGTGGAGTGTAGGCTTATGACAAAGAGGAAGTGTATGAAAGAAGAGCCAGAAGGAACATTGGCAGAAGCTGCAGGAGGAATAGCTGAGGAAAAAAAAAAAATAAACACAAGAAGTGAAAATAGGAAGAAGAGAAAGTTGGAAATGGCAAGGCTTGCACAAATAGGCCTCACACACACGCGAGTATAAAAAAAAAATCCAAGTTTGAGCAGGAGAAATGAATTATGCAAAAGGGGATTTTACTGCTAAGCTTTGCCCTGAAGAGGCTAAAAAACAGACAGACATCTGAGGTTGCACTAAGCCCAGAGTGTTGGAGGAACAGTTCTAGTAACGCTTATCCATTTTTTAACATTTGTTAAGCAGCTTACCAAAGAAGAGCAGTGAATCTGTCAACACTAATGCTCAGCCCCGTCTGTGTTATCACCGCTCTGCCATGTTTTACCTGGAGCAAAGAGCGAGCCAGCGTTCCTGTGACCTCTTCATTACATCAGAGGTCAGAGCATGTGACAGTGTTCGGTTAAAAGAAAGGAACCCACTGGGGATTAATGTTTATGACTTCATTATCAGATTACGGCCACTTTTATCCTCCCTAACATCACTGGGTTATCCAGTGACGCTAATCGACTCTGTATGTGTTGAACACAAGCATCTGGAGTACAACACTGTGAAGATAAAAGGACATAAAACCGACCGGAAGTCTCACTTGTTACTATTTCACACATCTGTAATTACACCATCCGAGGAGGAAGATGCAAAGGCGTTTGGAAGTGAAAACAGTAATTTCACCGCGCAGCAGATGCTACATGCTTTTCTTATTTAAAAAAAAACAATTAAAGGATTTGTATTGTCAAAACAAATGTAAAACAATCATCACCTTCGCTGTTGAACTCTGGTCAGTCTTCAGATGTTTTTTATGTATAATGTGTAAACCAGTCATGGAGCGATTCTTACATCATTTAATTCTAACTAATGACAGAGCTGTCACACGGTGAGACAACACGTTAAAATAGTCCCTGGGAATCAGGGTGTCTCAAAGACAAGTCCAAAAACAAATATTCTGCAGCTCTGTCCATTTACGATGGACGGTCGTCATAGTAACAGATCGTGTTTTTCAGCACTCCAGCTTTATTACCTCCGCTAACCAGTTCCTGCGAGAAATGATGTACCGAAGATGTCTCTTAATGGCTAAACAACTCACAGCGTAGGCCATAGTCTATGAATCCAGCCCTGCACAAAAAGCTTCCTGCAGAGCTTCATCAAATATTGTTGACCAACTTGGACTGGAAGAAGAGAATGGATTTTTTTAGTGCCTCAGCATGTGGTCGTGTTGCTGTTGCCGGGTTTCTCTGGAAACCACCTCTGAACTGTCCTCCATTGTGGACAGAGTGGTGTAGACACAGTGCTGGCTCACTTCCTTCCTTTGTCAGCATTGCCAACATGAAATCCTGCTTCATTGCAAAAACAAGTAAAGGACAGCAAAGACAAAAAAAAAAAAAAAGATGGATACTGTATTTTAAAAGTGTCATAAACTTATACAGAAAGTAGCTTTAACTACCAGGGAGAGCACTCTTATATAAGGTAATATTTTCTCCTGACCTCACTGCAACTCTCTATTTCTGGAGAGTAAATGTACATAAAGTTATGTTTCCACCCCTGGGCTTTAGTTTTTTCCTTGTTTTTTTTTTTTTCCCGTGCATTAAAATTCCCTTTTCCCTCTCATTAGTTGGGTTCAATGTTCCCCGGAGAACTTTATGCTGAAAGAACTTTGCTTTTATAAAACACTTGGTCGCATCTAAAACAAAAACACTTTTATGGTATTGTAAGACGTGGAGTTCCTCATGAGCACCACGCACTTTTAACAGTTCGCTCTTTTGGAGGCAGAGACTCTGCTTTGGAGTGTAAGTGGAAAAGAGGATGAGAATTCCTAAGATTAATTGTTTAATATCTGCACTTCAAATTCTGGAAAACGTAATATCACTGCGGCTAAAACTGATATTCCTTGTTCGTAATATTCACTGCTGGATGGAAATTTAGATTAAACAGACCTTTTAAAAATGTAGCTGATTAAAGTTAATGTTGTGGCATAGTGCTGAAAAAAATCTGGTTTAAAATCATGGGATTGCCATTAAATCGCAGCCAAAAATGTGTTAAGCTAACTCCAGCTAACTTCCTAGCTGTGCCCTCTTATCTGATGTTAATCCATTACACTGTGTTTTACAGTTTTATACAGTTAATATGATGTGCTGAACATGTTTATTTTCATATCCTAAACAAATGTAATAATTATTGAATGGTGAATAGAAGTGAGAAAATACTTCTGGTTTGGGGGATCTTCACACTTTGCAATTTCAAATGTGTGTCTGACGTTGACATTTTGTTTATTTTCATCTTTCCCAGCATCATAATGGTACTAATGTGGACCAGCGGCGACACCTTCAAAACCGTCTACTTCCTGATCACCCAGGCCCCCGTGCAGTTCTGGACGTGCGGGCTGCTGCAGGTGGTTGTGGACATCACCATCCTCTTCCAGGTTTACTACTACAGCCGCTACCCGCAGAAACCCATCTCCCACACCGTGTCCCACACCACCAGTGCCAAAGCTCTGTGAGCGCTCGGAAACCAGTGAGCCTGGCCGAGGAAAGCCTTATCATCTGAGCTGTAAACATTTCTAAACATGCAGTAGTACCAAAGCCACCCTGCTGTCGGCTCGTGCCACCTGTGAGTTTACAGATAGACACTCACCCTTATAAATAAGCCATGAGTATACACACTGGGGTACTTGAGGGCTCTGTCTGCAGTAGTACAACTTGAACACTTACACATTTTTTTT